CGGAACTGTGATCCCCTTTTCTCTTTGATTATGTTTCATGGTGTTTATGGACAATCTGTCACTTTTACCTTCTGCTCCCACTCGACGTAAAACAAACCGCCACTTCAACTCCCAACTGAACCATTGCAATTTTTTTTTTCTTCTTCACACTTTTATAAAATAAATCTAATTGTTAGCAAGCGTTATATTAATAAGGTAGTAAATCTTTTGGTAACACCTGTTATTAATAATTCTTTTCAGTATAATTCTAGAGAAATCTACTTATAGCTTACGTGGGGATTATACACTTAAACTATATATAGGTAAAGAAAACTTTTGTTATTCATTAAAATTTTTATTAAGCCGCTTAACTTCCTAAGTTTAATTTACCGGAATAGCTAAACACTAGAAGATATATTTAATACCGTTAACATCTCTAACCTATATAAGGTAGTAACCTGGTGCCCCTTTCCTCTCTAGAGACCAAGATTATCCAAAAATACCAACTATTATATTAATAAAAAAATTTTAAAAATTCCCTGTAACATTATTTTTCTTCAATAAGGTTCTAACTAATCTAATCACCACGTTTGCGCTGGCTTCCAAATTTGCTTCAACCATCTTAAACAGTAATGTTTTTATAATCCGGGATGGACTTACACAGTTGGACGCATTTAACTGCTTTCGATATTAACGCCACCCGGCATTTCCATGTATCTCTCCTCCTCTGTAAAAGAGTGTGTCAATATATCTAACTGCATAACGCCCATTCCCACAGAGGTCGCCAGGCATTGAGAAAATCTAATAATTAAGCTTTGTCTTAAAATGAGAGTTTCAGAGTAATTTCATTAAAAATCCTAAGAAAATTCCTAGCCCATATACTGACTTTAAATATATTATAGGAAAGATTGCTAAGTAGTGAAATTCAAATGCTATCAACTCTTTTATTTCCTGATCCGTAGCTTGCAGCCATTCCTCTTATTGTTCACTGTTCAAAAGCTTTTATATAAGCCCTAAGCGTATATAGGTCGTGCGCATTTAGAGTCAAGGCTTAAAATAAGAGAGCTATATTAATACTATTTACTATACCTCTTTTCGTTTCGGTGTCAGCTTGTTGTTTAATTAACCTTTTACTATGACCTTATTTTCAACAAAACTGTCGAAGTTTGGTAATGGGTATATGTTAGTTCCTTATCGCCCCTGCAGTATTGATTTTTTAGATTTGAAAATTCCCCAACAAAGGCATCCAGCTCTTATCTGGCTACTGTAGGATGCTTGATGGGTATGTGTAAGCTAAGCTGACTTGCTCCTGCCCCTTTTGTAGACGATTGTCTTCAAAGAGTATATTTTAATATAATTAAAACATCCTTTATAAATAGAACTTTAAAAAACAAGGGTCATGCACTTTAAAATTATGTAGTTGAGTTAAAACCAAGGAAATTGCTTACTATGGCCCGTCTCTTCGATTTTAGTTTGGGAAATTACTGTTCTAGAAAAACACACGGCTGCTTAAATAACGCACTCAAGCGTATCCAATAAGAGAGCCTTTGTAGACTACAACCAACTATTTTGAAGCGAGTATAAGGAGGGTATAAGCATACTTTTAAAATTTTTAAGTTCCCCTCAATTTAAGGATTCAAGATTAATTAGATGCATACTTTTTAAAGTAGATTCATTCGATTGGCGAGAATTAATTTTGTTTGGGTTTATGTAACGCCCTTGCACATTTACAAGCTAATTTCAACCTCTGCCACTAGCGCAGGGTTCTTTGAAAGGATTTGTATCCTTTTCTTTACCTAATTTTGTTATAGGCACTATAGTTAAATTCTAGTGAAATTACAAGTGTGAAATTAGGAAATAACCAGAACTATAAAATTAAATTTTCATGTGCAGTTCACAGAGAGGTGGAAGCCACGTTTAGCCCCACAGCGACTTCAGGTAGAGTAGAACCGAAAAAAAAGCTCCAACAGTATGGGCTTAGACTCAGCTTCGGTGTTTTGGATAGTGTCTGTTCCTAGTACTATGCTTGTGGCATAGTACTAGTACTATTATATATATCCGCGCCGCTCCCCACGACACTCACAATGTAAAAAGTTGTTTAATTATTTCTTTCACTATAGCAATCTAATTAAAGCGCTAGAGAGAGGTGTTACCTGGAATAAGAAAGGACGTGAATATTAATTAAATTAGTAGTCTAAGCTTTTTTTTAATAATATATATAAGGTATTAGGCGCTGTATCCACTATACTCACATATGAAGCATGAACACATGCATAGTTGCCTTAAGGCAACCAGATTTATAATCGAGGCTTTACCTTGAATGCACTTAAAAATTTTGTTCTATAACACGCTTACAAAGTTGTCAATTTTCGCAAAAAGGGCCACTTTCTATTCAATCAATATTAACAACTAGTTCTTTAGTGCTATGTGCAATTAACTTTTTAAGAACTGTGTTTAACTTTAAGATGCCAAGCCTCTAATTTTTCTTAAGAGCACTTAATCTAATAATATTAGTGATTTACCACATTTAATTACCAAACGAAAAGTAATTTTCATACCATTTTACTTATTAAATTTGTTTTAACATTATAAAGTGATCAATTAATTTCTTTTCTTTTTTTTTTTAATAAGCTTACTGATCGTAAGAAAAGGCGCTTGGGTGTTTTTAAGACAGTATACCTCTAATTTTAAATAAAGTATACTAACAATACCTTATTGAGTCGCATAATGAGAATTCCAACAACAATTGGTGTAGGGTTTATGTTTTTAACATAAATAAAGTAAGGATCAGTAAATAAATGTAGACGTGCATCACTGTCTTTATAATAGTTTTACGCATAGCATTTTCGCGATTACTCAAAATGAAATGGCTATCTCATCACAACCTACATCGTACTTAAGGAGTGAAACAAGAATAAAGCTATAAAAGTTATTTTTAAAAGTACAACCACAAATGAAATTCGCACAATTATAGACATCGATTTCTCCATTGGGTACAAGCACATGACCTCTATTATAACATATACACAGCTAAGGCGACAAAAGGAGAGGGACGAGAACTAGGTGTCTATTTAATTAAATTTCACTTCGGGTGCATTCGGAGTACCTTTTTTTTACATGTACCATTCACTCGTGGTTGAACGTAACTTACAAGAAGGTAATAGGATTCTAAGTTTTATGGGCTCTCTATACTAAAAGAGGATGTGGTCTTGTCGCCTACAGGCTAGTACAACCAATAGCTCTGTGAAATTGCACGCGTTACAAAACCCCTCTAAAGAAATTATATATAAAACTATTCCCCATAAACCATGTGTGTAAAGTTTAAGAAGGCAAAATTTACGCAATTATTAAGATAAATTCTTGAAAATGGTTAATTAAGGTAAAAAACGTGTATAACAAACGAAATATTATTTTTACAATTAACCTGTCCAAATAAATAAACATTGACAATACATTACTTACTAAAAGCACTGCAGTCGATAAAAAGTTTCTGAGATGAAACCCCATATTATCTATAAGCGGGCCTTTCTTTCCGCAAGCTTTACGATGTTATTTTTGTTAAATTGTAAGCCAATATATGATTTCGCCTTCCGAGCAGAATATTTAACTTGAAAACTGCCCTATTTTACCTAAGGTAAGAAAAGAGTTTTAAAATTCCAGGTTTTTTTTAACTATAGTAAACTTAAGGACCAATCAACGTTTTTAAACTAAATGCAAAGTGTTTTTTACAGTTACGATGATTAATGGGGAGAGTAGGCTATCTCCCACTTTTTACAGGCTTTTTGTCCTTTGTGTTCACCATCTAACAGAGTTAGTTCCATTGCCATACCTTTATTGCAAGTTGCAAATGTCTAGATTGCGTAATAGCTCAATTTTAATTTCCGAATATGCTTAATAGCTAGTTTTTAAGAGTAAAAAAATTACGTTATTTCTCCATTTTAATAAAAATGTTGTCAATTTAATAATCATACAAAGTTTCTCTCGTCTTCAGCGTTCGACCTTCTTGGATATACTGACTGAAGCATAATAGTCATGTTCAGCTATTTGGGAGAGTAAAGGAATTGACGAAAAGTAGTTAAAAAAATATATTCTTCGTAGGGGATACATTAGATTGCTCAGGCATTACAGTACGTTATCACTGATATATACTTGCCTTTTACATCACAGTAATTGCTTATTCCGGTATAAATACCGAAGGAGATGGTATATCCATTACCGATGTAAGTAGACCCAATTTTTACTAACCGACACTTTTCTTACTAAATAAAATGTTTACCACAATAAGGTATCATACTTTCGTTGATAATATATCTCCTATTATTTCTGGTATTTAAAAATTTTCAATTATTCTTGATGAGGTATCTGGGTTTGTTCAGCCGGTCGTGGTAACCACGTAGTCAATAATACTTAGGTGGAAAGTCCTAATTAGTTTTTATGACAAATTGAGACTAATACTGTTTTAAAAAGTTATGGGTACATCTGGCAAAGAGGAATAAGTAAAACTATTATAAATAATTGGCGTATCAAGGGAAAGAGCTCCTACGACAAACCGCAAAGCACCAATTAACTTATTTACGCATTTTTTTTTTTTTTATTAACCAAGTTAGAATTCTGGGCCAGCATTGAAAAAGCAAAGCCTCGGGGGGTGAAAAGTTTTTACTGAATTTCATAAATCCTCACTCATAATATTCACTGAGGTTGGTTTTTCTCTTATTATAAACTTGTTGATAACTTTCTTGGTTTTTATTGTAAAAATTGGTTACCACCAGTAATTCATTCTTAATCAAAAAATCTATTTAGTGAAAAACTGCTAGATATATTTAAAAGTAATAATAAAATAACGGTTTAAGCGACATTGTTGGTCCTAGTAAAGTTAACGTGTAGCATTCTGACCAAATATATATTAATAGCTTTTATAAATGTAAGGTTGAATTTGTTATATAGAAAACAGTAACTCCAGAAAAAATACTGTTATTTTATTAGAGAAAAACAAACTATTGTGGTCAAAAGAAAAAGCTAGTGTTTATATGAAGATGCTTTGGCGTTCAAAGTTGCAACTCCAAGAGGTCATAAGATTTTTCTAAAGTAAATGCTCACATTCAAACTCATTAAGAGCTAAGGATAGATAAAATAGAAAAATCAAAAAAAGTAAAACTAGGAGGACCTTAAAGAGAGCATGGAGGTAAGACACAACAGAGATCATAAAATAAGGATGGGGCTAGAACACAACTGAGTCAAATCTGAGCACGGGCGAGAAAAGGACTTATAACTTGGTAACTAAAATGCTAGAGTAGAATATTTTTTAAAGTGGTACCAAGCAGCGGGCGCTTTGTTAAAAAGAAGCTAGAATCCGCCATTATTTAAAATAATTAGCCTACGATATCTGTTAAACTGCAGAAACATAAATATAAGTTATGGACATGTAAAAATGCGTTGGTGGCAACTTAAATTAATCTAGTTAGCGAAAATATAGCTGGGGGACGCATGTCAGATTAGCAATACATCTAGGCTGGGCCCCACTCCTTATGAGCACACCCCATATTAATAAAAATAAAGGTTCATAAAACAACCACACTTCATTGCTCATTTTCCTTACCGTATTGATATCTTTACGAGAATTCAAAAAATTATTTTCATATTTGTTATTTTATTTTTTTCAGTGCTAGCTAAGAGCGTTTTGACTAAATTGACTTGAATGGTACATTAAGGGTAAATGCATGTCCAATCAAAAGTTGGAAAAAATTGAAGATTGCGTACGCGTGCGCCTTAAGTAGCGTACAAAACCATAAAAAAATAACGTTCTTGCTTAAGAGGCTAAAATCTTTCGGGTGTAGTGCGAAGCATTTCAACGAAGAGTTCTATTCCTATTCTTTTTACCATATAATTAAGGCGCTATAGTTGAATCGACAGAACTACGCGAAGTGGGGGTTTAGATCCACCCCGAATAAATTTTTATAATTTATTTTTACCTTGTTTTATTTGTATCAAAGTAAAAAAAATTGGAATCAACTTATTGTTTTCGTGTTTGTTAATTTGACAGCCCGGGAGTACTTGAGAATATATTGTAAAACTAAACGGTTATACAATGTCATAAAAAACTCTAGACTTTAATGTGACATAATATATGTGTTCGAAGAACTAGAGCGCTGTGGAAAATTACCTGGAAATAGTGGACTCTCTAGGAGTACTAAACCAATCTTACAAATAATAAGAGCAACAGGGTAAAAATATAGTTGCAGCGCATGCTTGGGCTGCACTTATATAAGCACATAACAGCACTCGATCCCTCATACTCATCAGTTTAAAAAAAAAAAATTTTTTCCCGTTCTGTTTTTTTTTTTATTGGTTAGATTACTGTGATTAACTTGTTAATGGGTCATTTTTCCGGTAAAAATTTAACTGTTTCTGTTACTTATGTTGGATTTTTATAATTGTTTCTTGATGGCCTTTCGCTAATATTTTTTAGTGTCTGTTACATTTCATGATTTTAATAAATAATTTTTTTAGCAATTATATTTTCTATTTTGTGATGTAATATGGTAATGCGGTTTTGTTACCTATTGATGTAATTTTGTTTGATTTAGAGATATTTTGTACTCTGTTGTTGTCTTTTGTTACCAGACTCGTCACCCGTTTAGCAGTGAAACTGCCAAAGAGCTTAGCTATTTAATTAACAACGTACTTGCTACTTTGTTGTATTTAATCTAAAACAAAATGAAGGCCATATTATTTGTTTTCCCGTACAAAGCAAGAAATAACTCTTTTATGTCAGTCTTCGCCTGCGATATAAACTTACAAACTGGTTCTTTTATAGTATTATGCTGGTAAAGTACCTCTGCATGCACTTCAACGCTTGTACCGTTTTAGCTGCTAACAGTGTTTCCTTTTTTCTTTTTAAAAGAAGTCCATGTCACGAATGCTGGCCGCCACAGTAGCTAAAAGGGAGAATCCACGTGCTTTGACTAACTAAAATTAAAGCCACAACGCTTAACTCGTAGCGTTTTTCTAGTCTTATCCTCATATGAAGCAAAAATTGACTGATCGCTTGGCTGCGCTTAGAAATCCTGCCCCCATTGACGCCGGTATCTATTATCTGACACAGTGTTTGCATGTGAAGGCATATATTGTTTTTCAACTAGAGCTTCTCGCTGACGAAATTCAATATCAAATACATAATTCCTCTGAAGAACTTCCCGATTTAAAAGGTTAACACTCTACAGTATTAGTCTTTAGTTTATAACACTTTAGTTTTTTTAGATTGCGAATTAGAGGTAGGGCCCTTTAAAAGTACCGTTTCACTCAATCTAGCCCTACAAGATGAAACCTATATTGGTAGAAGAGTTGATCGTGAAGCAATCGAAGAAAAGTTTAATTTTGAGGGAGGCAGCCTTAAAGAGTCTATGCCAAAGGCAAACCTATGTTCACCTCTTACTGATAAGAAGGAAAAGCTTAAAGATTCAGCCGAATCTTCTCTTACTTTAAACGTTGAAATTTTTTTTTCGCGACTCAGAACTTTGCGCGTTCACTTGTTAATCAATTTCTCTGTAGAGCGTTGAAAACAGAAATAAATATGATTTGTTTAAGGAAGTATGCGAGATTGCTAAAAAAGACGAGTATTTTTATCTTTGAAATTTGCAAGGTTTAAGTTTACTTTCTGTAACAGCATTCAGATTCATAAGTTCGATGAGAATATTACATTGAAAGGACAGCAAGCAAAGCTGCAAATAAGTTTCTGGGAGTCTTTAATTAAGTTAAGAATTCGTTTGCAACCACTAGCGACACTAGCCCACCAGTTTCCTCAGGTAACTTTTGCTAGTGTGAGTTACTATAGCCGGCCTAATTTTTTAAAAAATTAGGGTGACCTTTACTTAGGTTTAAGGAATTCTGCCCCCGAAGCCATAAATAAACAGCTGGACCTATCCAGAAAAAAACTGACTTCTACCCTTTTAGAACTTTTTATTCTTCAAGATGTATTTTCTTCCACATGTTTATTAATTTCCGTTGACACTGTTTTCCATCTTTTTTTTTTAGTGTATCACGAAACACTTAAGGAAGGAGGAGCAGTCGTTAAGCATTCCAACCTTAAGTGGTGATTTAAAAAATTTTTGGGAACACATTAAAAACATAGACGAAAGGTCGGCCTAGCGCGTTCTTTTTAAGTAGCGCTTCTAATTTAACCATAATAGCGTTTTCGAACATCAGCGCTCTGTTATCGACTCCTGGAGCAGGAAGGCTGCTTTTTCCTCGTCGAAAGCATCTTTGCAGAAGCCCTTGAAAGTATTCAACAAGGTCTTATTATATCGTGGGTGCCCCACACACGGTGACTAAATGCGAGCCACCGGAAGTCTATACACCAACAAGTGGAAACGGTTATGCTTGATAAAGAAAAACTAGTCAAACGGTCTCAAGTTAAGCGGGCTAAGTTTGAAATCTTGGGCGAGGCAGGCGAGGATACTCAAGAAAATGAAAATATCTATGACGATAGTGACTTTTACCACCACCTACTCCGCGAACTGATCAGCAGTAGAACGTCTATAACCGAAGAAGGTAGAGTTATGAAGCTTTAGTCTCGCAAGGAATTCTTTTAACTTCATGTAGAAAACCTCAACGAAATGAGGCGTCGTTGGCTAGAACTTAAAAATCTAAAGACAAGCACAAGTGCCCAGAAGAACGTTGATCGGCGAGCTAGTAAAGGTCGAAAGTTAAGGTGCCTTTTGTAAATTCCACTTCCTGGTTATCTACTGGTGTAAGCCGCATTCGCGTAGGTATGTTGTGCATGAAAAACTAGTGAACTTCATGTTTCCAATCACCAACTACACCACTACAACTGAACTCACGAGACAGTCGCTATTAAAACATCTATTCGAGTGATCAGAAACTCAATAAACAAGAATATTTCAGTGTCGTCGTTTACAAAGATTTTTTTTGTCCTGAGGAGTTTATAGGGCGGGCATCGTAGGTTTGCGGGAGTCGGCTTACTGCTCCAGTTTTTTTCCTGTCCCACTCTCTCGCCCACTGAGCTTGACCATCTTGAGAGGTAAAGTCATGAAGCGCTCTGCAGGAGACACGCGCTAAAACGTGCAGAACACATACCTTCGCTTAGCACTGTTTGTCTTTGAATGCGCGCCTCGTCAATTTTACGCCTCTCTTCTCGCCATTGGAAGTCAGTCTCTCGAGAATTAGCACGGTTTCTTCTTACTTTCTCGCCCCTGGAGAAATAAAAAGATTTTACCGTTTTTTTATTAGTTAAATAAAGTTAACAAATTATAAAAAGCTATAACAAAGTCACCTTTTAAAAAATTTGGGTCTTCCACTGGGCCAGTGTTTTACATCCTAAGAAGGCAAAGTTTAAAAGTTTTGCAGGAATTTCGGGTTGTATCTTAAGGAAGTAACTGGATTTCCCTCTGATTCTTCTTCTAGAAGTTTGCGGTACTGTTTGTTCTGTTCAATGGCCCACTCTTTGTCAGCTTCGACAATCTTTTGCCGCTCTAAAATCTTTAAGTTTTTCAGTCGAATAGACTCTATTTTAGCATCTAGCACATCAGGCTTAAGACATTCTTTAGGGGCCTTAACTATTTCCCTCCCCTAAAGCAATATATATGAATGTTAATATTTTAAATAAACGCGCCGGAACGTAAGCACACTTTATCAGCGATGGCAACTTTTTCTAGAAAATTAATTTTCTTCTGCCCCGTCCTTTATTATAGTATGTTGTTAAAAACGTAATTTATTAAAAAAAATAATAATAAGTTTTATATGTGTACTTGCAAGTGTGGCCATAGGCCTCTGAAGAATCTGAAAATGACCTTTCGCGGGTATAAAGCTGACGGTTACTTTTTGAACGGTTACGTGAAAAAAAGTTTTCAAAATTGTTTATATTCTTCTTGTGTGGAACGCTACTTCTGCTTTCTTGTACTAAGTCCCCTATTTTTACCTCTGAGTCGCTAGAGTCTCTAACAGGTGATAGGCTCAATGTGATCCCTGAGATGTCCGCACAAAGTGTACCAACAACTTCCGAACGATCATCTTTATTTTCTTTATAAAAACATTTACTATTTAACAAAAGGGCTGAGTCAACTGAATTGCAATTCGATGTGTCCTCAGTATCTAAACTAGGCAAAAAATTCCCCGAAGGAAGTGTGTTTGCTTCGGAAACCTTCATTTCCAAAACCTCCTGACTAGAAAAATTATCTTCACCGGTACCGCATAAAGAAACTTCTGTTTTCACATTATCTGCATTCGAAAATATTTCCAATTCGCAAATTGGTGTATCTTCGAGTAAAAACGAGGCTTGTCCAGAGTTAATCTCTAAGGGTAATTCATCATGCTTTACAGGGCTAAGTACTACCCTAGAAGAGAAAGCAGGAAGCTGAGATGAAGCAGGTTCTGTGCTCTTTCCACGTTCAAGACCCGTCTGAAAAGACTCGATATTTTCACCATCCTCTTTAGTGTGAATTTCGAAACACTCACCAGAAACTGCAGCCTGGTTAGATACTTCAGAGACCATAGCCGAGCCTCAACCCTTTTTTATTTAACCTAGCAAAAGAGTTAAAGTATCTGAACAGTTTTCACGTGCATGCACGGGGCCTTTAGCTATTTTTGGTAGTTAGTTTGTAAGGTACTTCTTGTATGTACGGAAACAAATCCTAGAGTACAGAGCGCTTAAATAAACAATTAGATTTTGTTCAACGCGGTCCTAGTGTTGCTTATTAAAAAATGCAGCTGTTGAAAAAGAGAAAAAAACGTACTTAAAGCACTTTGCAGAGGTGTCGTTAAGGCGAGAGACTGTCTAGGTCTTGTATGAAAGACTTCCTGGTGTCCAGCGGAAGTTAGAGGTTTTTTACCCGTTTTTACATAGCAATAACTGAGCTTTAAATAATATAATTAAGTTGCAGAATCCTCAGGTCGTTTATTAAAAGTGTTCTTGCGCGCAAATGCCCATAGCATATGATATCATGCTGTTTTCACCCAGGCGAGTAAAGCACTTGCGTAGACTGTTTTTGTTTAAATTTTTACGTTTTGCGGATTTTCCTCTAGCCTTCTTCAACCACTTCGGGAAAATTTTGAAATAATATACATGCTCTTAGTGCATCATGTGCTATTTATGCCCATTCCACGTATTGATCTGCATGCATCTGTGTCCTTGCATGTGCTCCTCCGCGTGCTCTTCTATACACCGTCATAGATATCCTTCCTCTATAAGACCTTGGTCTCTTTCTTTTGATTTTACTGCCTTTTACTTCAAACTAAACGTTTTCTGTTCTACCTTTGGGAAGTCTTGGATGGTAAGGATAAAGTTAATGAAGACCAACTCTTTAACAAAAAATTGGTTACCAAAAGAAAACCATAACCTGCAATCCAGCAGTTCCCCCAGCTGGAGCTAACTTTAAATTTATACAAAAACTTGCTTGCTCAGTAGCAATGCTGTTCATGGAGGACTTCCAAATTTGATGTTGACGATGTTGCAAGGTACAGAGTCACTAACTGAAGAAACACTAACCTGTAAGTATTAAAAGGTATCAGGAATGCTAAAAGCTAACAGTAGTTTAACGCCTCTTCTAGTGAATATATGGCCTGCACCAATGTTTCATGCAATGAATTGTTGGTGACGATACTTGAAGACCTTTATAGTACCTTGGAAAAGGGGGTTTTTTACTTGCAAGCTGTGTTACCCAAGATTATAGGATATAACGTATCCCAACTTAACACTGTCTAGGGAACGTTACTATACATAATAAACAAGGCAAGAGTGGACAACAAAAAGTTGTCAACAACAGAATAAAAATTACATCGCTTTAATTTCTAGTTTTTTTTTTTTTTTTCCACTAGCATACTACGCCCATTTTTTTAGGGACGCCTAGCGCTAAATCATTAGGCTCCACTTAGGAGGTGGGGCAGGAGTGCAAACCTGTGAATATCACGACTCTTTTGACGAGGATACTGTGGTGGTATGGTCCACTTACAGTGCGTAGTTAAATAAGATAGATTCCGCACAACTGAGAGTAGGTTTAATCTATCAAGATTATATCTAAAATGGTGTATATATAAATTCTATTTAGCCTTAATATCCGAGATTTTTTTGTTCATTTGTTTGTGGCGTCCTTTAAGTCTATATGGACCGCAAAGAAATTTTAGCTTTTTTGACTAGAGGACAAGTTAAGCAATTTGTTTTGTTACACAGGGCCGGACAGGGGTGTTGTCGGTAACTGTCTGTAGGATAGTGTATTGGAAGCTTAACGTCTAGAGTGCTTGTGCATCGTTAAAGAACCCTTAAAGCTCAAAAGAAAATTTTAAATATATATAACTAGCTCGAGCCCCAATTTTCTACCTAGGTGTTAAAAAACCGTTAAAACCACCCACAGGAGAGGTGGACCTAAATACCGGAGACCACCTGAATACCAGCTAGCAATATGCCCGCTGGACCTCTTCGACCGCCTGCTCCCATCAACTTTATTGTTGGAAATTTACACTTTAGATATACTAAAAAAAAAAAGTTTATAGGTTCCCAGGCATGGTTTGCGCTAGTCCCCACTTCCTAGAGATTGTTATATTACGAGTTAAATTCTTTCCTTTTAGTTTAACAAGATAATTTCATATGTATCCTCAAATTATGAGGGATTGCGATGGCTTTAATACTTTGTTTTTGGTAACATTTTATCTAATTTGGGAGTAAAAATTATTAGTCGCGGAATCTATATCTTTACAACAAAAACTTTGTGGAATTTAAAATTTTTCTATTTAATTATAACTAAAAATCATTCCATTTCATATAAACTACGAGTTGCTATACGCAAAAGAGGTTACATGGGGTTGTGCTCGGATGATAAAGCGTGGTAGATAGCAATAGTGAAGACTGGAGGGTATCTTAAGGGGTAGCTTTACTAAAAACACTGAGTACGCTGCGGTGGCAAAGGATTAGGTTCATGTGGAATAATAACGGCTTTTGGTTCTATGAGCGGGCATAGCTTTCGAGGAATAGAGCATCAGAATTTACGGATTTACTATCCCCATATGAAATTGGGTTAAAAAGAAGCTGATGAGCTGTATTTAATTTCAAAAATTATTTTTAATTTCCTTGAAAATAACCAAAATTAGTTTTAATATTAATTGCATTTAGTACAGACTATGCAGCCCTTAAATCTTATGTTTTTCGGTCATATAATAAGTAAACGTTAACGTTTTTTGTTTTAGTAATTCTTTTATTTCTCTATCTTTCCTTGTTCTTTAAGATTTTTTAAGACTTTTATATACTTTTTATGTTACTTTACCAGCATTATGTTACATAAGTTATTAAATTTATACGAAAACGAAACTGTATTGCTAAGGTTCAAGAGTGCATACTGGACGCGCTTCGATTATCCTTATGACCTAAATGGAGATCTTGTTTTATGTTTTAATAAAAAAAAAAAGATGCATGACTTTAAACGACCGGTAATAAGCGGGTTTTAACTTTCTCAGCTCTGTTAAAAATAGTAAAGAGTTTATTGTTTTGCCATCAAAACTCACTTAGTTTCTCTTTAATTTGTTAAATTTAAACACTTTACCTCCGAATCAACTTTAGCCTTTTGTTACATAATCAAATTTAAATTTGTTTTCAGTTTTTGTTTTTCTAGTTCATCATTTTTAGTATGTTATATATATCGTTCGGCTTTTTTTTAATTTTTATTAATATTACGATATTTGGAAGGAACAGGTATACTAAAAAAAACTCTGACCAACTAGGAAATGACTGAGACAAATTAATCTAAAATAAATAAACAAAATATACAAAAAATGGTTTTTTATTAAAATAACCTAAGTGACTAAGGTTACCTTCTGAAGATTTAAATGACGTTTGACTTTGGGGCTCAGAATTACTATTAATATTTATGCCCTACTACAAGGAAAAAAGAGGGCATGTCAACAGTATAAATTATTTAAGGAACTGCGAAAGAGTGCTGTCATCTAGCATGTGCTCATAGCCTTACATTTATTTACTCGGAATAATTTTTAGCTGTGACGAACGCATTTTCTGAGTCGTTCATAACTATATTTGCGTTCTGATATGATTTTGTTACCTTGCTTATAACATAGTGCGTTTCGCTTGGATCTTCTTTATGATCCTTTTTCTTTTACTGTTTTCAGTTTTCCAAGTTCTGTTGCTATTTTAAACTCTTGGTTATAAGTTTTGTTCTCGCCTGTGCACAGCTTTTACTTGTTGCGCCTTAGCTCCAAACCTCTTTGAAGATCCTTAGTTGTGTCTTTTGTTTCTCCATACTTGCAATAAACTCTTCTTAGTCTCAACTTTTTTGTTTCTATTATATTATCTCTTTAGCTCTAAAGAGTTCAATTGTGGGCATCTACTATCTTTAGAGGACCTTACGATCCTCAGGTTATAATATAGAGTTGGTTCGAAACGTATTAAAACATGTTTTCTGTTAACTTTGAAAAATTTCTTAAACAACTTTATACGTATCAGGCCCCTATTAAAATTAAACCTTTAGGTAATAGTACTACACGGTAATGCAGAGAAAAATAAAATAAACTATTGTCTTACCAAGATCGGTAAGAAATATAAAATTCTTACCATGGCACTTAGATATAGCGATTACTAATAAAAGAGTGAAAGTATTTTTATAGCTTTGTAAATGTATAAATATGCTGTGGTTATTATAGTGACCCTTAAAATTCATTTGCTCTTACATTTGTTTTCTTTACTGCTCATTTACATGATCTATTTGAAAATACCTGGTAGGCTTCGGTGACTGGATCCCACTACTAATACAGATTCCATTCACTTTAAGAAAACCAAATGTTTATTAGCTGGCCATACTATCGCTAATACTTATTAGTCAGTAGTAGGGTAGTAGGGTAGTTCTATTGCATTTTATTAAATTTTAAAGCTAACCAATGCAAATTAATGTAAATCTCGCAATTTGTTAGTGAAAAAAATGATTTCGCCCCATGTGGACGTCACCACTAGCATTTGGTGACGAACTCAAGCTCAAGGTATCCTTTTTATTAATTTGTTTAAACATATTTTTTCACTAATTGAATTTTTATAACCTTATATTAGGCTTCTCCCTATCCTCTATTTTCATATTTAGCGTGCAGTACTTTTATAACTCACATTTCTAAATTTTCAGTAACGCTTTGGGTTTTTAGTGTTTGCAAAAGCTCCTTAGCAATTTTTTTCTTTAATGTATAGTTTTAGGTCAATGGCACATCTTTTGGTAATTCTATTCTGTTACGGTTAATTAAAAAACCACATAATTGGTACATGATTGGTACATATTTGCTTGTGTCACGCACCTATTACCTCAACTCTGTTTTTGCTTCTTTCCTGCCTCCTTCTTCCACACCATTAACGTAGGTGCTATGGTGAATATATGTTAAACTACGCGTGCCGAAGGCAAAAATTAACACTTTGGTGAGCACCGCTATTCCCTTTTTTGTGCATTGTAGACCTACGATTCTAGAGCTAACTACATAAAGGTCATTTTATACTTAACTTTTTAGGGTAGTACAATTTATGAACCAACTTAACTTAATTTTTTATCTATTTACTAAATAACTCCGAACGGTAAAATGCTCCCGCTTATTTTACTGCGCACAAAGCGACCATCAACATATACATAATGAGAAATCTCAAAGTTTTAACATTAAATCCTCTTTTAAATTATGAATAAAGCATTGACAACCATTGTGTTCTCTTACGTTAAACTTGGTAATAGCCATATTTTCAAAAAAAAAAAAAAAAAAAATAAGAACCTATAATAAAAGGATTTTTGTATTACTTTGACTAGATTGCAACTAGTTTACAACTTGTATTGGTGTTCGACTATTGGGGCCTGATGGTACTAAGGGGGCATGTGATACTAGAAATTTAAGAGGTGTTCAGTAATCACGAATACTTCTCAATTCAAGGTTATTCACAATAACTATTAAATAATATATTCACTATTCCTTAGCTCATGTTCCTATCTCCCACGTAAGAGTACAGTAGAAGCCTTTATATCAGCATATGTCCTTAAGTGATACCACTATTACAACTTGGAAGTAAGCCGAATACCAACTTTAAATCCAATATTAACAAAGAGGAAGTTTTCCTGCACTTCTATCTCCAAGTTGAGTGGATGACCTTTTTCATGATTTGCTATATAGTCATAATATTGTTTCGTTATGTTCTTTCCGTTTAGTTCCGTTTTATTGCCACCTCTCTCCTTTTAATATATATTTTATTTAAACATAACAAAGCAGTGTTTTTTAAAGGGTTATTTAAATAAGTTTTATTAAATTTTGATAATTAAATCACCAACAATAATATAATATAAGTATTTTTAAATATATATTACGAATTAAAAGCAACTTGAGAGGGAGGAAAATCTATTGAAAAATTCTCATAAGGCATCAGCGACCCCCTATGAGCAAGAATTTTGGTCAAAGTAGTTAGCCCCTCGCCCGCTCCCTTTACCAACTGATTTCGTAATGGTGACGTCTAAAATGTCTTTAAAAAAGTTAATAGGGATGACAATACGCATTGAGCTTTATTATAAGCTTTGATGATCTGCTTTGAGCTCATTATTATTTCTCTAATAACCATTTTTATATTAACTATTTGTATTATAAAATTTTTAAGGTCCAAATATTTTCTTGAAAAAATAACACTTATCACCGTAGAACTGACTCATTTTGAAAAGTTTGACGAGATTAAGACAACTGCAGCCCCTAATATGATACTCAGTGTCCCTGGAAGGCCTAATAAAGTTCAATGTTATCACCCTTCCACCTTGCACTGATTAGGTGAAGTTGAACGTGCTGAATAAAAAGAAAATAAAGGAACTTGTTTTGCGTGCGCGGAAGGCCCAATTAATCTGGAAAAATTCAAGTTTTCTTGTTCGCAAAAAACTTAAAAACATCATCCCCACATATTTTGTGGAACATCAGGACGATATAGTTCCTGTTTTCGTTAGAGATTCTGGTAAACTAAACTTTGTGCTGGCGTAAGTCTGTTTTATTTTTATGCTTAAGTTATGTAGTTAAAAGTTAATTTTCTTTAACTAAAACTGGGGGGAATTTTTTATCGTGCGCCGGTGAAGAAGACAAAGTTAAGCGCACGAGAGAAAGTGAGCAGCGAGAGCAAGTTAATTAGATAGCTCTCTGTATACATGATTTTGGAGAGCTTAAGAATTAACAAATTAGCTTTCCAAAATCAAAATAGTGCTTCTACCAAGTAAAAATTTAATACACATAAGATAAAGCAAATCTGACTTGTGAAAAGCTACGTTGGATTATTAAATATGGAGAAAAATATTTATTATCTGGAAGACGTCAAGGCCAAGATTAGCTTTTTTTATACAAACACGCACGAGTAGAGTAAGTTTTTAGTTTTAACTTAATATACTAACTTTTTCCGATTATTATGAGTATTACCTTTACTATTTTTTATATATAAAAAAACATTTGCAGTCCTTGAAGGCTATTTATAACCTTTTTTAATAATATACATGAAAATTCGCAAAGTATAAAGTTATAAAAACAAGTAACTTGTAAGGTGCACTAACGGGCTTATACAAAGGCGACTAACTTAACTTTTTCAAATAGTTATAAATTATTTTTTCTTTTTAAGTTATTATAAATTAAATAAAGTTCTCGCGATAGTCACTTCACTCAGCCTCTCTTTGTATTTAATGATTCTATAACGTTGTAATATAATTCCCAACTATAAGTTGACTTGCTCCAGCATAAACTTTGTGCTCTATAATAAAGTTATCAGTTTATATATTAAAAAAAAGTAAAACAAAAAAATGTTGTACTTTTTTTTAAAAGACCTTTCAGTTGAGGTTAATAAAGCTTCGTAGATCTACTCAAAGTTTATTTTATATCGTCAAACTAATTTTTCTCTTTTTTTCCTGTATGATGATTGTTGGTGTTGTGCTTTTTATGAGGGAAAAAAAAGGCAAAGTAAATTAAGGTGAATAGATTAAAGATTAAAAAAAACCACAGCGAAAACTTCATTACTTTTAATTCCAAACATAAACTTTATACGAAAATATTGTTTGCCAGAGCTTTGATCATTATAAATGCTATAAGTATCGCTAGATATACAAGAGAATACCATAAGATGCCTAACTTATTTTTTTCAAAAAAACATTAAATTAACATAAATTTATTTATTTATGAGTAAGTTTTTTTTATAATAATAATAAAGACAATTGCGAGATAGATTTATGCCTGTGGGCGTACTTGGAGTATTTGCTCCCTACAATTATCCTTGTCATAACTTTTTTAACCACATAATCTCCGAGATATTTGCTGGAAATGCCAATGTTATAAAAGTTTCCGAGTACACATCTTGGAGCTCCAACTTTTACTTAAAAAAAATTAATTCAAAGCGCTTTAAAGACCGTCCGCCACTCATCTGATCTTGCTCAATTAATAACTGGGTTCGAAGATGCTGGAAAAACTCTTGTAGAATCGGGTCTTGATAAATTATATTCACGAAATCAAGTAGTGTAGGAAAGTTGGTTGCCCAAAGAGGAGCTTAAAACTTAATTCCAATAATTTTAGAATTGGGGTTTGAAAAGATCCGTTAGTTATCTGCAAGGATGTACAACTTTAAAATGTTAAGCAAATTTCTCTGAGAAGTGTTTTTCAAAACAGCGGACAAAACTGTATAGGAGTGGAATGCATGCTTATTAAAGTGGATTTGGCTGAACAGTTTATTAAGGAGGTACGCAGGCTTAGTGAATTCTATATCAAATTTAATTATAGTCCACGGGTGTTCTTCATTCATAACATTAAAAATCGGTTTTTCATAATAACTTCATATGAAAGTTGTAGACATTTCAATTTTATGCTAAAAATTTGTTTCTTTTTATGGTAATTTTATTTATTTATTTATTATTTTTAAGTTTAGATTGTTCCGATCTTTAAAAACTTAAACAAGGTAGCCCCCTCAGCAAAAATCCCAATTCTTTAGATTTGGGGCCATATGCGCACCTTCCCAGATTTCGCATGTTGCCGAAATGTTAAAGGAAAGCTGCGGCCAAGAAAGTCAGACTTATATGCAGAGGTAGCACTGGACTGTTTTTCCAGCCAACCCCCATTGCGAGCGTCACTCCCTCCACATGCGTATAGGGAGGGAAGAAACTTTTCAGGTTAGTTATGGTCGTGGCTACTTGGAAAACCGAGAAGAAACTTGTGGAAAAAGTAAATGACCGCCCCTACGGGCTCGGATCGGATGCCCTCTCGAACGACGGACGTGCCTTGAGAATCGCGGAGGATATTGTGGCCAAAATGGCCAATATTAATGACTTTGGTTCGAACTACATGAGCCAGTTGTTACCGTTTGGGGGCGTCAAGTGCTCGTGTTTCGAGAGACTCGGAGCGCCAGAAGGACTTCGAGAGTGTTGGTACGCTAAAGCGCTTATAGAGGACACCTGCAAGGATCTAGCGGGTATCCAGTTGCCAACACATGCCTTATATTTTATATTCTCTAGGAATATCACGTGTACCTGGGCCTTTTTGCTATCCCACTAGCAGCAAAGCCTATGAAATCTCAATAGATCTTGTGAAAGGGGTAGCCTACCAAACTTCATGAAGCCAACAACCCGTTGCTTTAGGGCATCTACTAAAACTTTATTGGCTCATTATAAAAAAAATTAATAATAAAGTAAAAGCAAAAGATTATTTATTCTGCATGCTCTTGATTCTGAACGAAAGTACAGTTATCCTTCACAGAAAGAAGAGGCGTGGGCTCTGGATACTTCAAAAGTGTGGGTGCGCACGATGCAAGCGCCTGCGTGACCTCAAATAAAGGGTCACGAAGTTCTTGCAGGTCGTCATTGGCTGCTGAATCAACTATAAGCTGGCATACGGTCGCCACTTCTGCGTAACATTAACGAAAAGTAAGAGGTGAAAACAATAATGATATTAATAAGGACGGTCGTGTAAGGCGGGAGTTTTCGTCACAAGGCGTACAATAGCCGCCGTTAGCTGTATAGTGGCACCATTACGTAGCTTCCTATGCCACTGTTTCGCTCCTATAATATTCACATTACTTGTTTGATTTTGATGATAACCGCTGCAATATTTTTACCAATGATAATAAGATCCTCGTACCAACTTCTTCTTAAAGAAGGCGAAATGCCTTCATTTATACACTGGAAGCACGTGTCAAGCAAGCTATAGGCTAATCGGAACTGGAAAGAGTGCGTAGTATTTAAAGTAAAATTAACCGCAGTAAGCAGATATAAGAGGTCATTCTCGCGCGTTTGCGGTACGTTCCAGTACTTCGTACAAGTTTGATTAGTAACGCTACGGTAGCCTTCATGCTTAGAGTGCTAAAAAGTGGATGGCGGACAACCCACGTGGCCACCTTCATTGTAGTGTTTTCTAAGTACACCAAGCAGTAGAGCGAGAGGGTAAAACCTTAGCCAATCCGCAAATCGTCTTGTCGGCAATCCGGATTCTTTCTTCGGACTGAGCAAAACAATAAGTACGGGCACGCCTATCAAATAAGCAACTGGCCATCCGACCTTGATCAATCCAAGATGAACAAGGATACTATCGCTCAGTTGTTTCACATCACTTTCTTCAAACTTCTCCATACAAGCGTGCGTCAGTTTTTCTAAAGCATTGAGAGGAGCTTCAATCGAAAATATGTCAAGTTGATGGCAAGGCAGAGCCTCGAGTTCCTTTTCAAGTAAAAAAAAAGAGTTGCTTTCATTTTCTGCATCAACTTCTTCTAAGTGCACGAGCTTAGGAATATCCTGTGGGCAGTCAATAAAATGCCATGAAAGTGATGTTAAATAGAGAGGAGACCAGGTAAATATTTTCAGGGGTAGGACGGTATCCAGCCGCGAGAGTACGGCGGAGGGTTTCTGCTACAAAATAAATTCTAAGGCGTTCAGTTACTTGGGATTGAACATCGCCTTTGTCAGGCATTTCAGTTTCTTTCATGGCAGTCTTCAATACTTGCGAAAACGAGTCGCTCTAAGTAAAATAGGAAAGAAAGTCAATCCCAAGAGGGGAAGAGGGCCTTTCTTCCGGCTTACGAGGGGCGAATAGTAGTGGTTGGCAAGACCCCACTCTTCCAGCAAATCGACTAAAAAATCATCTGCGCGCAAAAATAAGTGGCGCCGAGTATTAGAATGATAAAGAAAGTCATACCCTCAATAGCAGTACCAAAGAAGTCTGCCAGTTTCCGTGAGACGGCCCACACTGCAAAGGCACCATTAGTTACTCCTCGCAACTCCCTTTACACAAAAAAAGTGTAGCTAAGCATTACCAGCAAAAGGTTTAAGGAAACCTAAAAATGCTCGACAAAACCGACGAGCCTAGGCTATGCTCGCTAGTATTTAGCCAAAGAGAAATCCGCCGAAGAGACTCGGCACACAAAAGCAGCTGCGGTGCATAAAAGGGCTCGTTAAGTTCTTCTATAGAATTTTTCGATAAAAGCTGCTGATCCAGATGTTTATAATCAATGACGTTTCTGCACAGTACAATAAAAAAAATTGGAAAAACATAGTAAAACTGCAGCCTTTGAGGAAAAAGGTACGGGTTGTCTAAAAAGTCGGTGGGGAGAGAGTCCATGCTGCCCAAAATGACGCAAAGAAGGCAGCGTAAAATATAAGCGGTCAAAGGAGGGTGCACCTGGAGTCCGTTACGTTACAAACATGTAGTACCGCTGAGTGCAGATGAGGACCTCAATGCACAGAAGATTGCAAAGGGCACTCAGGCAGTGCGTACGAACGCCCAGCTGCTGATAGTTTCCTAACAAAACTCGCAAGCAATTCACAAGTAGAACGTGACGGCCTTCGCTACTCGTAAACTTTATTTGTGAGAGGTCGCACAGCAGCTTGGCGACTGCCTGAGGCAAAGTCAGCGGGAAACGTTTAGAGGCAGGTGAGGAAAAGACCGGCCTCGATTATTTCGGGCTCGATGTCGGAGTCGCCGTCCATGCCGAGGTTAAACCTATCTTTTAGCCCCTCAAATAAAATGCTAACGTAGTGCGGATAGGTTGCAATGAGACTTTTATGGTTGCCTAAAAAGGCTTGAAGGAGCGCGAGGTAGCGAAGAGTAAAGTGCAGCTACCAAACACGCAAGATGTAGTTAAAATAGCATCGAATTTGTTTTCTCCACGCGTGTAGGTCAGCAATAGGATGGGCCCCAGTAGAGGTAACAGCGGAATGTCTCTATCGAGTCCTGAAATTTTCAAGCTGCAAATTGCCTTCAAGACGCTCCCAACAACTGCATTCTCCTCGTCGCACTGGTCGAGGACAGAGAAGTTCAGTTAAACAAAATAGAGGATATCACGTGGGAAGCCACGTGATTACCAGGCCTTCTGCTGCAAGCTCGACGAAATTGTCGGCAAGTGCAATAATAACTTCCTCTGAACAGGTGCCTTAAATGCATAAAAGCATCAGCAACGCAATATAAAAGGCTGAGGAGTGCATAAAAACCACGTGCACAGAGGATAAAAAAAGCATGCAAGGCCTTCCACGCTTCCACTCGCGCATACTCGCTGCCGTCTTCGTCTCTTCTAACAATTAACAAGGCAAAAGTGTACTTTAACGAGACAAAAAAAATACGTGTTCTTGCAGCCCGCAATGATGCTTTCTAGTACATAGCCGGGAGTGGGTAGGGACACGAAAAGGCTTTGCTCCACGGAACGAAATAGCTCAGCGAGTGCTAAAGGTCCTGTTAGTCTGCCTAGCAAAGCGCCTCTAGCAAAGCTCCAGTGAACCTCTGAAGTAACTTTCGCGCACATCGATAAGTTCGGAGTTCAAGTGGCCGTCCTGCGATATCCAGGAGAGCAGCAGTGGCGCAACAGAAGCAACAAACTCGTCAGGGGAGACACCGGCTTTCTTTTTCTCTTCTATACATAAATAAGCTCGTCAGAAAAGAGTGGTTGGCGCAAATCATGGCGAAGGGCTAACCTAACACAAAGTCCCAGTTTCTGGAATTTGATTGGGCCACGGCGCCGTGACTGCAAGGGGAAGGGGTAGTAACCGGCATATGGCTGCATCACACGTACAAAAAATGCACCCGTAATTGTTCTGGTAAGAGTGGACGAGCAGCTCGAGCTTCTGCTGCTCCGACAGACAATCCATGTTTAGCAGGAAGTTAAAGCACGCTCCTGAAGGACGAAGAGTTTTCCAAGAAAAAAAAGAAGCGCTAAAGAGCAGGAGACCTCCCGCGTCCTGACAATGTGGGATGGGTGACTCCAAAAGAGCCAGAAGCTCCGCATGGACCACGCTCTGATAAAGGGTATGCGCCCTGGGGTGCCCAAGCTGCCAGAGCGATTTATAAAGCGCGACTATGGCAGATCCGGCTTCGGCATTAGCAGGCCCGCAAATAGTCACGGCCGTCCTTCGAGGCACTCCGGGATGCGTGTGCCTATTCTGAACTTGCATGCTCTCGAGGAGACGATCCAGCAGGCCTTCTAACCGCAAAACCTACTTGATGGGTCAATAATCGTTCCGCCAATGGTTCAATACAACTAATAAAACCTTAACGGTGTCCAGACATAAAAGGTGCATAGTCATATTGATGCCGTGGCGGTGGACCCACGTGGTTGCCTGAGAAAGGTCATCAAGAAGCATCTCCACGTGATCCGCGATGCCGGTTTCAGTGTTTGGAACCGAAAGCAAGCAGTTTAGCAACGAAGCGGCTGCCTGCGCGAAGCCAACATTTTTCACAACTCCGCAAGAGCATTAATGACGGACTCGGCTTACTCTTCTGACGGTAATTTCCTCGTCACTTAACAATTTTCGGGCGCTTTCAGCAAGTCTTGCATGCCTATAAAAAGGGTTAAGCAACGAAGTTTTCTGTGTAACCAAGAAATGCGACCAAGTAAGATTTTCATCGGTGTTTTTAAGTACCAAAAGCTGCCCGTGAATTTCTGAAATGCAGCGTTCAACCGCTATACATCCCCAATAATAACTGAAATTGATATATATATATAACGGTGAGGATAAACCTTTTATACTCTGCACACGAACTGCATTCCGGTGCGTATCAGAGAGATCAAGAAACATAAAAGGAAGGAGATAGTCCAAACAAAAACTAGGAGTATACAATCAAGTTCGGATCTACAATCCAAAAAAAATAAACAAAAAAAAACTCACGCAAAATTTTCGTAGCTGATGTCTTTGCAGCTTCTAACAGTAAAACCAACAGCAACCTATCAAAAATCAAACCCATTCAGTTAAAACTTGTAAAAAATTAAAAAATTAAAGATCAAAGTAGAATTTGCTTAGCGAAAACATTTGATTAACTAACTCAATTAACTTACTTGAAATCCTTCTAATTCTCTCGTGTCTTTGGATTGTTTCGTGGTGAGAAGTTCCTTCGAAAAAAAAGTAAATATTTTGTTTCCGATGAGTTCAGCCACTGAACCGAAAGCCCACGCTGCAGCCTCTCTCAGTTCCCGTTTTTCGTCTGAGAATTAACAATAAGTTAAAAAATAGCGTAGAATTCAAATTAGCTCTTTTTAAAAATTCTCGTAAAAACTAGAGTAGTCATGAATTTTTATTATAAAATGTTACCAATTCCTCCCTAACTGATGCTGGCTTATAAAAAAAACTAGAAAAACTGCTAATAGTGCCTTGTTAATGCTTTTATAAAGAAATTGGACTTTATTTTTGAGTAATTTGCGCTTTAAAAAAAATTTATATTTAAAGTGAATTTTTCTTAAAGTAAAAATAAAATGATATAAACTGATGCGATACTAAATTCTTTAAAAAGAAGTCTAAAAGGCAAATCTGCTAAACAGTATTTAAAAGTAAAAAAACCATAAAAAAATAAAAAATCGATAAAAATTAATTGTAGAGAACACCAGAAGTAGTTGTGAAACAGGAGTGCTTCAGGTAATATGTAACCTTTGTAATCTTTTAAAACTTATAGTAAGTGTTAATATATAAATTAAGTTATTAAAAGTTTTAATCAAATTAAAAGTACTTTGAAACTGCTACCCTTAAGTCTACTTGTGTTGCTATACTTAAAATTTAGATGAAAACAGGAAAAGATTGAAAAGTGCTAGCAAATACACTAACAATCAAAATTGACCAACTATTAATCTTAATAAGTTGTGCCGAATTACAAGATCCGTCTGCGTTTTTTAACAATGTTAGAATATTGCTCTAAGATAATAGGGGTAAACAGTAAAAATACTGCCAAGGAGTAAATAATTTTAATAACAACTCAACTATTCTTTTTAATTTAACGAAATACACGCTAACAAACAATCAAATTTCCAGCTAACACCGGAGGAAAACTGGTATCCTTAATAATACCCAAAAAAATAAAAGCCTACGTAAATAATAGTATACTAGTATTACTCGTAATATTTCATAACAGTTTAATATATTATTAATTTACACAAGATCTAAGTTTTATGGTTATATAAAAAGTATACAGAAAGGTCTCTAGTGAAACGCACAAATACCTTTTAAAAATTTTATAATTTTGGAGTAAACAAAATCAACGTCCGTAGACAAAAACGCTTCAAGACTCTCTTGAAGAAATGTAAAGACATAAGGAAAAGCGTATAGACCCTCATATATTAAATGTACGTTAGTTAAATAAAATATGAACAGAGTAAGGGGTATACGTTCTGGATCATCTGCCAATTGTTTTTGAATTGAAGAGGACCATTCAAAAGGCAATGCAACATTCGTCTAGGATCATATAAAATTTCTCCTGTTACCCCGTAGAAAAAACGTAATAAGCAACGTTTATCTTTTGTTACAAGTATATAAGTTTAACCCGACTTTAATTCATCTAGTAGTTCATCAAGAGCAAAAACAATAGATTTATACGAATCTTCCAACATACACAAACTGTAGGTAATTATAAAAGTACTACCGCAGCATGGAAATGAAATTTATATATACCCTTCTTTATCCTCTGAAGTAACCTCTGCATCTTTCAACTGAAGTAAACGTTCCAATTTTAGAAACAGCTTTTCCCAGTGTTGCTGTACCTCTGATGATACTGTAGCCTTACCGTTCTTCTGCAAATTTGAAAGGGAAGTACCAGAAGTCACAAATGTGTAGCTCTCAGCAGTAATCATCAAAAGTTGAAAACGTCAAACGAGCTAGCCAGCGGCCTAAACGAAGGTAGTTCTTTTTTTAAAACGTGCTGTCAACGCCTTATCTATTTAGTTAGCCCTCAATGTGTGTTCCACTTTACAAAGTTTGTTGAAACCTTTTTATCCATTTGTAGTGTTCATACGCAAGCTGCGGTTAAGAAAGTATAACAACATTGAAACCTGGACTAAAATTAAGTCGCTTTCGTTTGTTTCTTACATAGGATGCTATTAAAAAGATACTTTTCGTACCAGTATGAAGACAAGGAATTGAACTTATCACCTTGAGTTTGCTCATCAAAGTTCTTCAACTCTTAACTACGACGACAACAAATTAAAGATTATCATAAGCTTAAGCACATAATTTTCTCGTTTAGCTTACGTTACACTAAAATGATTATTCACTTACTGATATAAATACTTTCAAGGCTGATCCCAAACACGTTAGTTTGTCACCAACTGAAAAATAAGTAAAAAATTAATGCAATGCCGTTAAGCACGGGCACAACAAATGTGCGCTGTGATTAAACAACCTTCACCTATAATTTAAGGTTTTTACTGCATACTTTACCAATAATATAATATAAGATAATATCATTAACATTTGGTTTTGACATCAACGCCACCACATGAAGAAAAAAAGCTTAAAAAAAATATTTAATATAATTGAAAACTAACGTGGTTGCAGAAATAAGATTGACAAGTAAAAAAAGAGTTAGTTAAGTTAACCCTCCAATAGTTCTACGTTGAGCGATAACTAAGAAAACCATTCCATGCTCAAGGTGATGTTTGGTTTTGTACTGTATTCCATAAATAAATATCATATTTAAAAAATTTGAATAGCATGAATTTAATTTTGTTTCCTATTTCTAAATATTAGAGAATTACAACATAAAGGTATAACTACAAAGCACATCAGCGCTTCAGGGCCAAAACATCACTACTCTAATAAAGATTATATTGTAGTTGATAGCATTTTTTAAAATTAAAAATTTCTATGGCCAGTCTCACCGTTGCTTTTTTAGTCGATACTAGCGGTTCAATGAGCCAGAGAAGTGAAAAGGGTTCTTTATAACCTGCTCCTTTTTGAACAATACTATAAAAATTTAACTTGTCTCACTTAGTTATTCTTTTAGGTTTTTCATACCTCGACATAGCCAGGAATTTAATAAGTTTATTTCAAACACAAGCACAAGTTAAAGCACCACAGGTCTTCATATCGCTTTATAACTGGTTCTTAGAAATAGTAGAAACTTAACTTTTCTCTTAAAGGTTAACACCAGTTACTTGCTCATGTCCTTTGAAGAGGAAGTTGTTTGTGCTTTAAAGGTATGTTTTATAAATCCAAATACTATAACTTAATTTCCATACATTTTCAACTATAAATCTACTATCACTATAATATCACAACTTCCTTACGAGGTTCATCCAAAAGACTTGCCTTCTAAGCTGAAAGAAGAGCTGGGAAAACTAAAGCCTAAGGATCTTACCGACGTCGGGGTATCAGTAGCTTTACTATTTTTATATTAATCATTAACAATAATTCTTTTTTTTAGAATTCTCTTAAAAACGTTTTTGAAGTCTTAAACTCTACAAGGTTTCTAACTGGAACTGATTCTTACTGCCAGGAATTTATTATTTCCTTTTTATTAACTTTTCGTGTTTAACATTTTATGCCAATTAAATAATTTTTTTTCAGGGACGGCAACCTTGGAATGTAGATCCTGCTCTTGTTATAGTTTTAACTGACGGTGGGCCTCTCGTTTCAGCTACTGAAGTTTATAATTCGGTTAGTGATTATTTTTTTTTATCTTAGCCACGTAGGTCTTTTGCCAACCCCAGCAGTATCCAAGAACCTTAAGAGATTTAGTATTTTGTTTTTCTTTTTCTAATCAGGTTGTTTGGCCCGGTGGAAAACAGCCAGGTTCTGAGCTCTCCCTGGAACCTTTTCGTTGGGATCAGCGCATCTTCGCTTTAACTCTAAAAATACCCGTAATTTTGTAAAATTTTTTGTCTGTTGCAATATTTCAATGGTTTCTTGTATATCTCAAGGCCTTCTCAAGGGCACCTCAGTTGCCTTATCACGTTAATTTCGATCAACCAATCTTTTGCAAGTTCACTGGAAGCCACTCTGATTCGGGCATCGAGCCGTTTTGCCAGGCATCTGGCGGCCAGTGCATTACTGTCAATAGCATAAAAGAGGCTGAGTCAGCGATGGAGTTTCTGGCCTCCAAAGTTAAGCAGCGCGGCGTAATAGTCAGCTTTGAGCCACTACCTGGGGAGGATTCGGGCGGTTCTTATATTTTTTACCCGCGCCTTTTTTATGACCTGTTTGCTTATAGTTTTTTAACAGAAGCGCAAAATTCGCTCGCCCGGAAGCTGAAACCGCACAGCGCACTTAACATCTTCATGCATGTGCCGTCCTTTGGCATCTGGCCGATACCAGAAGCCTATTGGCTTAAAGCCAGTGCTTCTAAAATCCCTCCACGGGAAAAAGCGAAGAGCGTCATCTACTTTTCAACTGTTTCAACCTCCTGGATGGTTGATTCTCGTCTTCCAGTTAACACCATTCTCTCGCTTGGCACGTTTTTTTTAGGTGGAGGACGGCATGTTCGACAAATACCAGCTAGAGAGTTGCTGGCTAACTCAAGTGTTGCTAGAAGAGAACAATCCAAACACAGCCTACCAGGTTGGTATCCACTAACTCTGGCTGTTGGTTGGCTAAGCGGCCGTCTGGTGGTAGGTCTTTATACTAAACAGCCACTATACACCTGGTCGAGGCCATCCCTTTGGATTTTTGAAGCCGTCCTCTAAGAATCTGTGCGTGAACCTGTTTGTGCTGCCCTACAACTATCCCGCACTGTTTTCCTTGCTCGGTGATTCCCTGAGATCCAATTGCAATGGTTTTACTGAGAATTTCCGCGGTCAAGGCGAGCTGAAAAGGAACCCGAACCCCACCAGCAAATGGCGGCATGAGCTGGACGCTTACCTTCGCGACATCCCCCCCTATTACATTCCGTGCTTGAAGTATTGAACTTCGGCTCTCGACCCAATAGCTGCCCCCTCTCACACTGCCCAGGCAAAGACTGCAACGCTTTGGGGCCGATCGCTTTATGGATCCGCAGCACACGGGGGCTCTCCCGCCTCATATCTCGAGCTATCTTCATAGGATAAAGCAGCAGGTGCTTCAGTTGTCAGGAACGTCACGTGGATCTGCTTTCTATTGCTCGCCCTTTGCCCAGATGCAAAGCGAGTGCGATCGTCTGAGTGCGGGCGCGCATGAAGAGCATGGCACCGGCTTATTGGTTAAGAGGTCTTCCCTGAGGTTTCACACCCCATGTTGATATTTTTTAACCGTTTTTACTGCATATAATATCATCCCAATCAGGGCTGCCACTATAGAAGGGGTCGCCGTGATACAGGTCTCCAATTGTCACGGATTTCTTATTTTTGCTCCTCTTAAGGATTTTTTTTTACTTCCAGGCGAAAAATCCATTCGACATAAAGCGTGAAGTACTTGTCCACGTTTACCATCGAATGGCCAATCAGTTCTATGCTGCCTATGAACAAAAATCTTATGAGGATGAGGGTAAGCGGGGCCCTCCCTCCATTTGTATGCATCTGTATTGCTTGCTGTGCAGAATCCAAACACCATGTCTCCGTGGCCGACATGGGAGCCTTCTCGGCAGCCTATGAGCGCGCTCTAGCAAGGAGGGAGCAAATCAAATTTAGAAAAATAGAAATCGAAAATCCACCAACCAATAAATTTTTGTGCGATGACATTGTACTAGTGATATATTACTCCCGCTACTCTTTATCTCTCCCTCTTCTAGCGCCCTGACGAGGCGCCCAGCCTAAATACAACCCACAACGCACTCTTGAAGAACACGAGAACCCGCTTCGCTAAGCATCAGCATTTTAAGCAAATCATAAGGACACGTAATACTCCTGCCGCCTTGATAGCACCGCCCGTCCTTTTGGATAGCTCCGAAGAAACCCCCGAATCGGAGCCCGTCCAACCCAGCGGTAAACTTCATGTGCGGCTGTACTCGTGGGTAACTCACGCCTCTCCAAAGAACCCCCTGTAGTCCCTTACCGCCATGGAGACACCAAAGTATCGCACATGTGGTCCACGCTACTTCAGCACGAGCCCAGGAGACCTGCGATAATGGCCGAACGCAGTGCCTTCCCTGCACCGTATATCCCCTCCGCCGTTCTAAAGAGACTCTCGGCGCCTGCTGAGCTTCATTATTTGGGATCCGTCGAACAGTTTTTGAAGCAAATTAAGTCTCCCGGGAAAAGTTTATCCAATAGTATTGATTGCATGAATTCTTAAATGAATTGCTATCCAGACACTTCAAAAGTCGAACGCCTTGCTAATATGCTTTCACGAGAACTCAGCGGGGAGCTTGTTTCCGCTATTTTCACCAGAGCCCTTCAAGGTTGGGCTACTTCGCTGCCTATTATATGCAAAGCCGAATTGATATTATTGCTATAGAAGCGCAACGCTACAAAAAGGGGGATTTGATTCAGTTTTTGAACGGAAAGTTGAAGTAGTTTTTTTCCTTTATTTCTTGCCTCAATGAATTTCAGTTTGCACTCTTTTATGTAAAAACTTTTCACTCTATTTTTGGAGCAAGTCTGGTACCTTTTCAAAAAGATAATGCACTCCTATTCAGCCTGTTTTCTGGGCATTAAGTTGTACCCAAAAGGAAGAATATTGCAATAAACATGTGCTCTACTATTTTTGTTAATGTCATAGCACCTAAATACGGTCAGAGCGGAAATAGTTTTAGCTACATTTTATATGACCACTTATAAATTACTTACAATATTATAGAGAAATAAAACTCAAACCTCTGTGCTATTGCTTATTAAGCTTGGAATATATTAGTTTTATATGTGAAATACGCTCACAGTCACAGACCTTTTAATCGCTTACGGAGTCAATAAAGTATAGTAAATTCATATATAAAACCATGCCGTCTGTCTTCTTATAGTCCAGCTATATTATAACAAAACCGGTTCGCTGTAACTTTTTTATACAAGAGAGATTCATAGACTTTATCGGGTTCCTCCGCAGTGCATTACTAGCCTTTAACCTCTTGCAAGCGCAGAAAAGTAGGATGCATAACAGTTAAAATGAAGCGCCATTGGCAAGGTCCACATTCCATGTGACAAACTCTTCTAGCAGTTCAAATTTATGGTACTTGGCAATGCGGTGGAATGTCTGCATTTCTTCTGTAAAACTCTGATGGTGAATTTTTGTAGTGTAGAAGCCGGAGCAGCTGCATAGCAGAGGCATGTGCTCACGTTTCACTTGATGGCATTTGGTACAAACCAAATCCTGCAACTGATAGGAAAGAAGTTTCTGACTCCATGTGTCTATGAGGGTTTGCTCTATCAATTCTAAGTCGTAGGGATGGTCGCACTGTGGGCACTGCCATACCCGCTGCACAAGTTGGGGATCTCTTTTTTTTTCCATTAAAAAGTGCAAAGTTATGCTGCGGAGAAACTCAGAAGAATACCTGCAGAGATCAAGCGGGCGGCAATCATTGCAAAATCTACAAATGACTTCTTGTAGCGTGTAGGACGCACATGGGTTTCTAAATATAGCCTCCTCAGAAAATTCACTAACGCCCAATAGCCGGAAAAGATTTTTGCGCAACAGGGCGACCTTAAAAAGATGGACTTTCCCATCAGAAAACTGTCCTTATTAAAAATAATCAATCCATACTTCATCGGAAATGGCAGCATCCAAGGAAAGAATCTTAAGCACAAATTTAGCGAATTCTATAGCGGGATCGCTCATGGCAAGATGAGAGCCCGGCAAAGCAGGAAACTCGTAGCCAGTAGCCTTCTAAAGATTTTAATAAAATCGCGAATACAAAAAATATCAGGGATTGGACAACACTCACGCGAATGTCAGGGAGGAGCTTGAAAAGCTTTTTGCCCACGCCGCTCAAGAGCTCCTGCACGCGGGTTGTCTCGTTAGAACGCCTGCCATCTTGTAGTCTGCTTCATAACAAAAGTGTCTTCTTAAAAAACCTTGATATAAAAAAAAATACTCCCCAACAACCTCCTGGTTTTGACAGAAGAAGGCGCCCCAACTTTCTGGTGGTCCAGCTGCTCGCTGCGACTGCTCTCATAAACTTTATATATGAAGTCTCCAACTACAAGTTCAAAAGACTCAAAGTTTATAAGGAAAAAGTTACTCGCATATAATAATAAAGAAAAGTAATAGATTTACGCGTTGCAACGGGATCGGGAGGTATTCCTTGATGTTGAGGCTACTAACAAAGTCGCACGGGCCCTCTATTCAGTAAAGTGAGTCCCTTGCCCCAACACGGACACAAAAAGAAGGAACCAGAAAAATGGTCTGTAGTTTTCCTGGTCTGCATGCCCGCATAGTTGCACTTGTCGAGCCACCAGAGCTGCTCCCAGTACACCACCGGGACAAGATCAAGCAGCGCAAAAACTTCTTGTTTTCTGCAAATAAAATGAAAGTTGGGAAGCGGTAAGAGGCTTACAGACCAAAGAGGGCAACACCGAATGCCCTGCAGAATAAAATCCATGTAGGCAGCCGCATCGCTGAGACTGCTCTTCGGTGTGGCAACGATGAGCTTCGTAAAGTTCGCATACACAATGGACGAACCGAGGCGCTTGAACTCCATGACGAGCTGAAAGAAAACCTGTGAGCACAGGTGAGAGCACACGTAGAAGACTTGATGCTTGTGGACGGGAAACCTTCCTCATCAGAGTTTGTACCAGCTGGTGCAGCGCCGGGTCGTATAGCAGAGATCGCGAGTTGCTCAGCCAACGGTAGAAGTGGATGCAAAGAGTGTCCGCCAGCTCGTTATGGTTCAGAACGACCTCGTTCATGAGGCTGCGGAAAAAACGAAAGCATCGGGGTGGATAAGCATATGGATAGCAAGTGTATACCTATGAACCACGCTCTTTAGTACTCGAAAGGCAGCAATGCACGCCGACGAGATATCGTAGCCAGTAAGCACCGTTTTCATTCGCTGCAAGGAAAGAAAGTAAATATACAAAAGGAAAAAAAAATAGAGAGAAGAATATTTACCAAGTTGTCTTCTAGAAAAATGTTCCTGGCGGTATCGAAAGGAAGTTCGTCCGAGACGCCTACCAATGGTAAATGAGCTGCGAGGGAAGAGAACCGGTCAAACTTTACCCTCGGCGCTGTGGAGCTGAGCGGAGTGGACAATGCTGTTGATGGCGAGCGTCAACAGTTCGAGTTCGACACACACCGTATCATAAAAGCCCTCATTGGTCATTTCAAAATAACCCTCCTCCGCTACGTGGCACAGCCACACATTATCCTCACCTGTTTACGTATTAAAATAGTATCGAAAAGGATTGAGCGAAGATGATTATAACCCTCTCTGCCGCCCAAGTCAGGACGGATATTGGCAGAAACCCACAAAACGTGGCCAAATCTTATCAGCTGCGTATGGGTTAATAAATAGTTCAGGGTTAACGTGGGCAAGCTGAACCTGCCGGGTATAAAACACGTCCAATATATAGACGGGATAGTCAAAAGGCAAATTCCCTAAAATAACGAGTTTATCACAATTTTTATGACAATATTGATAAATAAATACCGATGGGCACGTGACCATAAGCAGAGAATGCTATTTGGGACCGCAGCCATTGGTTCTAGCAGAAAAAAGTGAAACTCTTTGAGAACAAGTTCATAAAATAATGAAATAAATATACTCTGTGGAGGGCGAGCTCAATCAGTTTTTCAAGTGCAAGAAATTCCCACTGCAACACGTTATTATAGTCGCCTCCCCCGGCAGCGTTGTTTTTAATGAACACTGCAGAGCAAGCTTAAAAGTATTCTAGCCAAATCAGAGAAGAGGTTTGGCGTACAATGGGGCATGGCAGCCAATGCCGGAGTGTTTTGCAAGAGGGCTGCGAGAGAGCAAGAGCAGTCCAACAGAGAGAAGCACGGCTTGCGCTGCGCCAATGAGGGAAATGCAGGGCACGCCAGACAAAATTGGGGCAACTACCCCTTTAACGGTAGTTGTGAAGTCGTGGACGAAATGTTGCAGTCTATCAAAGGCTTCAGTTTCTATTATAAGGCGGGGCGCAGTAAAAATACTATAAAAATAAAAAAAATAAGGAAGAGACCCGAAGTAGAGTAGACGACTTTAAACGAAATGTTCTCCGGAGGGGCGCTCTGTTTTTAATGAAGTTAATAAAAACGGCGTGTACAGACCTACATGAGAAGAACAATTTCTATATTATCGGTGCCCACGTGGAGTTCTAAAAACTTTTCTCTTAACTTCTTGTACAGGCGCCTGTAAGGGTACCAGAATAGACCATTTTTTAAATCAAAATAGAACAGCTCCGTACGAGGGGCTAGGTAACTGCTTCTTATTTCGGGGATCCACGACTATAATAGCGGCTTGCTCTGAATCAGATCGAAATACTCCAATGAGACTGCAGTCCTTTCTTCCATGTTGACCAATGTAGACGTGCTGAACACATATAGTTTTGAAGGTATTGAAAAGATCCCGCTTTTTAGCACACAACCTCAAAAGAGTTTGCTTTCAGATATTCCGAAGAAGACATGTGATCACTTGTAAAGTCGGCCAGCTGAAGGTGCAGATCCGTCCCTGTAAGGTCCGCCGACTGGCTAACGCGGCAGACGCAGCCTAGAGCGACGATGGCACGGTATTCTAGAGAAACGTTGGTCTCGTAAACCCCCTACTAGCCACGTGCTATGTAGAAGGTCGGTAGCAAAAGGTGTGGCGTCTGTAAGAAACCTCGATTTCTGGATGGTTGAAAAAGCCAGAGAGTTCCTTCATATTAAGCATGTTCTGATAGGCGCTCTCTTTCATTGCAAATTCGTACAAGTGGAGCGCGGGGAGGGACCTCGGTAGTACTTTAAAAACCTTTGGCCACCGCTATGGTGCACATGACTATAAAACCAACAATCCTTTAGTTTAGTAAAGGAAAGCACGTTATTAGGATCCTCCTTTGTGCAGTTGACATAAAACAGTCTTGGAACAGTCAAGGTAACAGCGACAACAGAAGCGCCAACAAACGCCCACATGCGAAACTCACCAGGTGTCCTCGTGGGCAAAAGCTGTGAATTGCATAGGTAGTTTAGGGTCAACCAAAAGGCTGATTTCAAGGTCACAAGTTTCACCTGGATAATCTGCCAGCAGTTACCGCGCAGCTGGCGAACGACATCGTCGCTCCGAAAGAAAGTCTCGAGCCCAGATGTGATTTGCAAATGGTGTTGTCCTCGACGCTGCGCCCGCATCTTTACTTGCCACTTCCACTTCGCTACACACGAAAGGCATAAGAACAAAAGAAAAGAATAAAGAAAAAGGAGACTTTTCAGATAATTAAGATAAAGTTGGTAGTCTGCGGTTTTGTCAGGTGGGGGGCCGTATAAGGCAGCGTAGGCTTCGGACGACAGATCATGCGTCTCCGTGCCGGGTACCACTGAAGAGGAACTCTGAGAGCTAAGGAGCAGCGAGACAGCACAATCTCTAAAAAAGAGAAAGACAGCAAAAACCTGGCTGAGTCCTCCTCAGGGAGTCTATGATCCAACGCCCCTGGAAGGTTAGCATCACAATTGCTCACGTGCCCCTTACTTGTTAGGCCCGTCTTCTCTCTAAGGGGGGCTGCAGCGATGCAAGGCAGTTGGCACTCCTCAATATCAACTGGCCGACGAGGATCCGGGTCAATAACGCGGTAGAACGAGCTGAGGCCCCTTTGCTGCAACGCGGCTCTCTTAGAACGGATGCGCTTGTGAAGCCAATCTGGATGCTTTATACGAGGGACTGGATTGTCAACCTATAAAGAAGCACGTAAATTATGATAGTAGGTCCAACTTTACTTTCCAGTATTTTGCACATACAGCCTGGAGGGCTGCAGGAATGGTCACAATTCTTTGAATTGTGCCACCAAAACGCTCAATATAGTAGTCCCTGCAATACGTGCGTTGGCAGTGAGCAGTAAATCAAGTCAACAAATATACCAATCCAGAATGGTGCGGACGTTAAAGTCCGAAAGAGACGGAAACTTTAACCACTTACGTAGGTAGAAAACTTTTAATTGGTGGTCCGCCAAAAAGATGTTGACGGGAACGGCGCGGTCAGCCACAGGCAACCCGACGGGCTACAGTCAAGGAGCGGTTAACATGCTCTTCATGGGCCTCATAGAGCGATACCTTTTCGGAGATGATAAACTTGCAAGAGAGCCCCTTCCCCCGGAGGGTATCACTCCCGAGAAACTCGCCAAGGCGCTTAGCGGCCGTGATGGTGGGGGACTTCTGAGCGCCATAATCGCCCAACTCGCGCGACATGGAACGCGTCTCAGAAAGTAGCTCGAATATCTCCTCGTCGCTTAGCTCGCTGCGCAAGGTGGAGCTGAGACAAACACTGGGAAAAAAAAAGAGCGCAAATACGTGCAGCACCTTCCCTTGTTGTAGAGTATATCCAGCCACTGATTGGCCACTGAGCCAACAGCTTGATAGCATTCCACAAGAGTCGTTCTGCATGAAATTTAGAGGGGAAGGTGTTCCATGAAAAAGGTGGTACCCCTCGAGGAACTTTTCAAAGATCTGCGACTGGAAGGCTTTCGTAAGCTGAAGCTCGCCACGTCGCTTGAGCTCAAAACCCTCATAAAACAATGACATGCATAAGCGGTAACAAACTATCGCGAAAGACAAGGCGAAGCACCTTGAGTTCAGCCAAAGAACCATCGTTGTTATATACAGCATATCTTTTTTTCAGGTGCTAAATAAATGCTTATGGAAGCTCACTGCTCTAAACACCGAGCAAGGACCTTGTCCTCCTCTTTAGAGGCTGGAAGTATCATGGCGCGGTATGGTCCGTCAACTTCAAAGAAGATTGTGTTTTCACTGTCACAGTAAAGCAGTGGTCATTATAGAGAAAACAGGGAGCGAGAATGCCAAAGAAACCTCCTCTGCGAGTAACGAAGGGCGGTTTTGTCCTCCAGAACATGGTATTGGTGGTTAGTAAAAGTGTTACCGACCATCACGTTGAGCATCGCCCCCGGATAGCTCACAACAATCTCGTTTAAAAACAAAATATAGAACAGAGAAATTCGATGGTGCAGGAAAGAGGGAAGGGGCTACATCAGGCTCGCCGTTAATTCGGTTAAGAACAACGTTTTCGGGAAAAGACGAGGGAAAGGCGCACCAGATGCCGTCCGTATCAAGCTCCAACGGTTTTCCTATACGCTCTACAATCTACAGCACCATCGTACAGAAAAGAATGACTTATTTAAACGATGGCAAAACCTTCCGCGCCTTTTGGATGATGGCCGAACCTGTCAGACAAACAATACCGGCCATTTCCATAGAGAACCACCTGGCCCCCTTTCGCATGACGTAGCCTAAGTCGAGCAATCAAGTAAATACCTCCGAATGTTTTTTGCGCCACATACAAAAAGACAAACCATAAAATGAGTTAAGAATGCACTTGTGGGCCAGTTGCAGTGAATCGTACACGACAATCTGCAAGAAAACCCCTAAAACTCGAAATGAACATCACTTTATAAATAATGCACACCATGTTCTTGATACTCTGCCTTTCGCCCACCTCTGTTGCTCTTGCGAGTTTACTTTGCCATGCCTTCAACTTGTCTGTGCAGCGCATTAACACGTGAAACAGGTAACGGCGAACTGCCCGACCTTTGTAAATATATCGGCGGTCTCTAAACGCGCGAACCGTATCGATGTAAAATGGGTTTTCGCGCATGCAAATAGTGCTTGTCCTGTCTATAACGGTAGCAACTTTGCTTTTCTTGTGAATCTGCCAAAGCGTCGTTGACGCACGTGTATGAGACGACTAATAAAACAGTTTATCAACTTTTTTAGAGAGATCAGCCAAGCGCATCTTAATAAACTTGGCCTGCTCGGCTTCTAAACAACAATTATTTATGCTTAACCAATGAAAATGCGAAGTGTGGTGACCTGAAAGCTCATAGAATGCAAGTTGAGGCTTCTTTGAGGCTTTTTTAGGGTCAAGATTAGGAAAGCGCTCAGATTCCAAATGAAGCTTCACATGTTCATATTCTAGTGGGGAAAAAAAATAAGCTTAGACACTAAGTTCTTCAGGAATAATTATATACCCGGCTTTGACGCAGGTATGTATTCCATGCGCCACTTCCAGTCCATAATTCGCTGGCATTGCAGCCCTTTAGAGAAGAATCTTAGAAGACAAAGCAGGGCACGGCAAAAGATGTACCCGATTGGTTAAAGTCGCAAGCTGCACAAGTAGCTTCGTCGACGATGGCAAAGGGCTGTGCCAATCGTCAAAAAGGCAGGCAAGCGTAGCAGAAACATAACGCACCTGCAGCCGATTGGTTAAAATGATATTCGGGTACATGGCGGACACGTCTAAGTGGTAGATGAGGGGGCACTCCGCCCTTTTTGGCGCGACTCTTAAATCTTAAAAAAAGAACTCGTCCCCGAAGCGCAGGTGGGATACAAAAGAAGAGGGGAACCATCCAGCTTCCTGCGAAGTTCAGAGACAGCCTTTCCAAAAGTATAATGAGGATGAACAGAGCAGTAAATAACGTATAAAGAACTTCATCAAAGTTTCGAATGGTACTCAGATCAACTTCGAGTTCTTTTTCGAGGGTGTAGCGCAGCGCCTCCGGAACTCCACTTTTCAACTTCAGAAGGAAAGCATGGGAGGGAGCGCCCTACGAAAAAGTAAGAAGCTTCACACCTCGTCCAGCGCCAGTCCATCCAAATCAAAATCCACGGGAATATTACTTCGAAAGACGCCGGCCTCAAGGGACTCCACATGGCCACCAACGTACTGGCGCATGCAAAGTAGTGCAGTGTCAAAAATAATATTAAAAATAAACGAGGAGCTGAGGGAATTCACCGTTTCGCTTTCTATGAATTTTCCTTTATAAAATTTGGTGTGAGGCGGGTGGTGCTTATTGGGCATAATCACATCCGCTTTAAAAGCCTCGACCATAAGCCTGGAGGCATCGCATTAAGAGCTACCAATAAACTTCTTGGAGAAAACGCTAACTTACAAGGTCTCGCAAAGAGTCCCTGACCCCTTGCGGAGAACTTCGTCGGGTTCCAAAGGGATTATGGAACAGAGAGAAAAAATAAAAGGATGTATGTATTTCATATATAAGTAGTAGGTGGCCACGGCATCTGACACAGAGTAATTAGCAAGGGCTTGCGGGCTAATTAGCAGATTTCCTTAAGTTGAGAGCAGAAGCTTTTTGAACAGAATATACCGCTCCGACGCAAAACGGCACATGTCTTCGGGGTTGATTTCTAGTGGGTCATAGGCGAGCTTCGCCTTGGTGACTGCCTTAAGACCGTGACTGCCTTGGGGCAGGTAGCTATCCCGCTTCACCCATCTATGATTTGGATGAACCATGGTAAGGCCACGAGGCACTACTGTTATGCTAAAGATCACACTTGAAGGCGTCCATGTGGATAATAGGCCGGCTCTTGTATTCATCCTGTGCGTCTGGACCGAACCCCACTTCGCCCATGATGTCGATCCCATTGACATTTGCTCTAAGCACGCAATCCCAAAGGCGCCATCAGTGCTGACCAGAACCAAATATTTTACACTTAAGAAGTAGCGCACCTCTTATCTACAAAGGGCCAATCAAAATAGTCGCCATTAAAGGTCACGATAATGCAGGGTTTTATTTCCTGAATATGCGCTATAAACTTTTCAAGGGTCGCCTTCTGTGAGTTGCATAAGGGGGATGCCTCGAGACAAAAGGAGAAACACACAACCTCATTTGGCTCGTTGAACACCGTAAATGGCCCTTCATATTCGGGCGTCGGGGTGTACTCAAAATCAGCAATATCCTCCGAAATGAGTTCTCTATTCACAACCAAGTAGCCCTCGAGTCACGCAAGTTACAGGCAGACGCCAGCAAGTAAGCGTGAGAGTGCAGTACTTGGCCGTCCACCATGTATGACACCATCATGACGGAGTCGATGTCGCTATCGGGGAACTTCAAGGGGAGCTTGGTGGTCTCGATATCGAACGCCAGCACGGTCTGAGGGCAGCGCACGGCGAGGGTTTTAAGTCCAGTCCAATCTCAAGTCTTGAATAACAAACGCTCACCAAATCCGGCCGCTCCTCCATATCAGTGCGGAGAGTAAAGGAAGGGTTACTGGCACCAACCCTGACCTCGTACCACCTTCCAACGTAAATCGCTGAAGGCAGAAGGGGTAAGAAAGAAAATTATAAGAAAGATATTGCTTCTTAACAGAGATCAATGGCAACTCGGATGTGGTAAGGCACATCGTATTCCCTTATATCAAGTACATAAGCCAATACATCAGAAGAAGAGCTGTTAAAAGTTAAATTAATAAAATTATAACCAAATAAAAGCAACCGCTTAACTTTTCTTTATTAAGATCGTACAAGTTCTTCAGATTTAGATTTTCTTGATTTTGTAAAACTAAAGGATGAAGAACTTTTCTTACCTTCAGTAAATCTTTGACATTCAGAAATTCAAGTTTTAAATATTTTCGTTTTATACCAATAAGATGATTACTCTGATGTTTGTAAAAATAAAAAATCGTGTTGTAATTTTATAATAAAAGTTTTCCTCAAGGAAAATAAAAGTAATTCTTCATATATGCCCAAAGAAAAAAAGGTCCAAATTAACACCAGTAAGATTATATTTTCATATATAAAACATAAAAAAGAAACCATATCAAGATCTTCCTTTTCAAGAATAGTTAGAGCAACTAGAATGTCTGAAAACTTTTTTTTTAAATAAAATTCCACCTCAACTTCGGTGTCCGGCTTCATAATGAAATTTATAAAATGGCTAACAAACCGAGATGCCGTGAACTATAACAACCTTGCAGGATATATAAAAGTAGGGACGGAACACAAAGGTCGTCTTAAATCGGCTTCCATCCTATTATTATTAATATAAGTAGTAAAACCACGAAAAAAACTTAAAAAACCTCTTGCACAAAGTAAAAATCCACAGCACTTTTCTGTTTTTTGGTTTCTGGATCTACTATTGAAGTCTTTAAAAAAAAAGTAAAAGTTAAAATAATCATATAAAAAATCTTTTAAACTACTTAAAACCAGTAGCAATTAATTCACTAAAGGAAAAGCAACCGGGTGCAGATTTAGGAGCCAGCCAAGGCGTTCCTCATTAATAATAGTCTTAAAGCCAAACTTCAAATCAAGATATTGATTATTTTTAATTCTTTCTAAACTGAGCTCCGTCTGCCGCCTTTAAATGAAATATAGTGAGATGTATGGGTTTTTAGTGCAAAAAAAATCCTTTTTTTAATTATTTTATAAACTTTTTAATAGTAAAGTAACAAAGAAAACTATTCAAGTTCAAGTTTAACTGAGCAAAAAATAGTTCTCTTTCTGCCTCTGTCCTTCCCCAATCATCTCTTTCAGCCTCCTCATAAATAGTCATCAATGCAAACAGACTTAAGGCCCTAAGAAACGTTTTTAGTTTCTATTCCAAGTAACAATTTACAGAAGTCATATAATGCACTCGTGCATAGGTTGCTACAGAGTCACACACCTTCAAGTGGTTTGCTTCTTTTCGTCATAAGATGCTTAGTGTCCTCGCAATAAAAACTTACTCCGGGTTTTTAGAGGATTTTATTTCTCAGAAATATTTTTACTTTTACTATTAACCATTCGATATTACTTAAATTTTAAACAAGAACAAATTTGAAGTAGGTCATAAATATTTTATCCTATAAAAAAAAAATTAAAAAAAAGGTTAAACTTTAGTTTTTGTTGTTCATATAAATCCTCTTTTAGTAAATTAATTTAACCAAAAATTAATTGTTTGGTCTCAGTTGAAAGGGTAACAAGAAGTTTAAAGAGGGAGTTGTGGTGCATTTTTATAATTTTTTCAAATGTAAATTCCTTTTCCTGTTTGGACTTAGCCCTATAAAGATTAAACTGTATACCTTTTATAACGTAGTAGTTTAAAGATAAGATATAACAAGTTTACGTAGCTACGCGTTATATCAAGAGGTTATTTTTTTTGCTAGCGGGGATTTCATACGAAAAAATTCCTATTCTTGCTGTAATATTACTTATGCATTCTTAATCCCTTTAATCCCAAGAGTGGGAAAACGCGTTTATATTTTATTATTCTTTAAAATTTGCTGTTAATTTCATAAGAAATGCAGATATATTTTTTAAATATTGTAGCCCATATAAATTACCACAAATTTTTATATCTCTTTACAAAGGGTGTTCGGTTTCCATTATTACTGGTTTAGTTCATTAATTTAAAAAGAAATCAGGAGGCTATTTCCATTTAAGTAACTTGGGCTTATCGCTAAGCTTTTATTAAATTTTTATTCGCAAGATCAAATTCCATATATTCAACGCAGCATTGTGTTTTAGTTTTAAAATAAAGTTTAATAACTTACGATCGACCACTTACCACAGCCCTATGAGGGACGTAACAACATAAATTTATTACAGAAGCTAAATGTTGGAAACTAGTAAGAGCTCGTAAAATAACAGATTAAATATGGTAATGTGTAATCTTCATTATAAGTTCCGGTTTTAAACTCTTGAAGCGAAAACAATACCACTACTTCAAAAACTATTGAAGAACGTAAGCTTCTTGTTCTTCTCTACTTTTATAAGAGATCCACTTACGAAAGCGCTCGAAATCCAAAGATTTTTAATGTAACCTTACCAGTGTAATTTTAAGACGAGCTATTTACGATAATGGGATATGTTATATAACGCAACTGTTTAGGGACCGTTATGTAAACATACTATAAGTGCGAGGGTAAACACAAAGTTATTAACAACGGTATGCATATTCCAACCACTTCATCTTAATTGTGAAAGGTTTTACAGTATAAATATATATAAATTGTCTAATTAAGTCTTAAGCACATTTCTTTTTTATGAAACCTTTAAGTTGAACTATCAGCTTTCTATCAATAATTTCATTTGGGTTTTTTACTCAAGCTTAATTAGTGCACTACTATAAGAGAGTTTAGTTATTAGACTTAACTTTTTCTTCGTAAGTGGTGGTTATTTTAACTTTTTGGGGTTTGAAGTTAGGGATGAAAAAAAATTTAGTATGAATATACACGAATTTCAGTAATGAATTAAGGGGTTTTAAATTAAATTTGTGACCAGTTTAGAACGACCACATGATCCACTCATGAAAAGATAAGATTTGGTCGTTTATTTTTTGTAAAGAGTGTAAGATGCCAATTTAAAGCTCTAGTTAATAAGTTTTAAAAGTTCTCTTTATACTGTACGAAAAATTTTACGACAAATATTAAAAATTAAAGAAAAAGTAGTTCAAGTTTAATTCTTTATAAAGCTCATACTAAGGTGCGTCAGGATTATAAGCTACAAATCTGTTAGGAGAGTAGGATAACATAAGTTATGTATGTACTTTTTCAACCAGAGGTGTGAGTTGACTCCGTAGCTCAGAGATTAGAGCATTGGCGCACAATATTAAAGTGGCGGCTTCATTCCCGTCCTTAAGAATTTCTGGTTTTGGTTATTACATGTATCCTCTTCAAAGAATGTTTTATTATAGTAAAACATTGAATAGGCGCTTGACCTATAATCCACCCATTCTAGTATTGCGAAGTTCAACTCAATTTTCTATGCATATTACTATGAGGCAATTCTCATTTTTTTCTACTCTTTTTACAAGATCATTAATATGCGCTTTGACTGTATCGGATATTGTATGTTAGTATAAATTGTAGGGATGCAATTCCTCCCTTCTTTTTTCTCTATTTTAAAAATCTGTGTTCTCCTTCTTTGATTCCAGGCCATGGCAATGGTGCAAGGGCGACTTACCCAAAGAGCGCTTAAATACAAAACAAGGACGGGAAAAACTCTCTACTTTATTAACCATAGAATTTTATATATATAGTTTAAAAGTCAAAAATAATTTTGTGTGATTATTTTAACATTGGTTTTTCCCTGATCTTACACGCGTAGTTCATTAGAATTTAACTATAGAGCCTATAAGAGAAATAGGCAGGAGCAAGAATAGAAATTTATTAAATAAGCCTGCGCTAGCACTAGAGGTACAATTCTTGGGTGGGCAGACCTTTCATCTAAGACAAATAACTTGGTGGATCTAAGAGTAAAGTATGCACGCAAAAAAAAATTAAATTTCTGGTTCTACTTTGTACAAGCCCTTTTATTAGAGGCACACGCCAGCGCATCTCTAACACATTGTACAAAAATAATGTTAACAGTATTTATCAGTTAAATTCTTATATAATCTCTATCGAAATAAATTAATTGGAGTGAATTTTAACTTAATATGCTTTAGGGCATCATATGATTAACACTTAGGATACCCATCATATGAATTCAAACTTATGGACCGTATTTTCCACCTTTCAATTGCTATAGCTAAAAATGATGGCAATATGGTACGTCATGCCTATCTAGTTCTCAACGCTATTTTTTTTGTTTGTGAAATAAGTTGGTATGCTAGAAACTATTTGTGGCAAGAAGCTCAGTTTCGGTAAACAGTTGAATATAAACTCCAAAACTTTTCAAATATTTATAGTTAGTTATCGTTTAATATGAAAATTAACAAGGTGCATGGTGTCCAATATAATAAACTGAATATACTACTTAAGAAACTAATTACAAGACTAATAATCACTCAAGTTATTAAAATTAAGCGTTTGCAACGAGAACAAAGAAATAAAGTTTATTGCCATTGTACGCGCAAGCCAACCCTTTCAGCGTTGCATTGTGAAATTATCAAATTTAGTTTGTCAAATACTTTTTACCAATAAAATTTAAACTATGTACATTTTAGGAAAGAAGGGGGAGACGGCAACTAGTCTGTTTAGAAGCAAGTAAGAATTCCATTGAACTTTACTGTGCTAGTTAAACACGTATGGTGAGCAATGTTCGCTTCACTATTGCCGAAGGCTTCTTTCCATCATACACTGGTAAGTGCGCAACTTTATAAAAAAAATTAACTATAATATTAAACAAGTTAGCTTGAATTGTAAATTGTAGGTATTTTTTACTTTTTTTTTTAACATTTTTGGTTTAGGAGATTTCCTTTTTGTCGTGATTTATGTAAATGAAAAAAAACTTTGTAGCTCTAAAGGAACAAAAGCAGATAATTCTAGTTTTTATTGGAATAAATCTTTTACATTTGAAGCGGGAAATTCTGATAAGTTGCTATTAAAGGCGATAAGCCAAAACGGGTTACTTTTCGTTAACAGCAATACTCAGACTGGTAGCTTTAAGTAGGATATTATATATACCTGCAGGGATGAGCAAGAAATTTCAAGCTTTTCTTTGTGTTTTTCTGAAAAAAACACTTCGGACAATGTAGTTCTCCAAGATTGCAGTCGAGACTTAACCTCTACTAAAATTAACCACAAAAGTTCTGATAAATTTTCAAACTTTTACAAAAAAAGAATATCTGCTGCTTTTAAGAAGGCTCCAACCGTTTCTGAGGCCCCTGTTCCTTCTAAGCAAGACAAATCTAGTATTTGTAAAATAGCAGTTTTCAGTATTGCTAATATATTTTAATACAAATAAATTGCAGCCTCCTGCCTTCACATATGTTACTCCTTTGGGGAAGCTTTAAATAAAAATGTTTTAGCAAATGGTAACTGCTATTCGTGTTTGTTAGTTACTACTTTTTATGTCTCTGGAAGTCAACTTTAATTTTCTGCACTCTAAAACTTTTTTTTAAAACTTAGACTGCGTACTTTTAAAACTTGTGAGTGCCCGAGATTTAAACGTAAACACTTTGTCATAAGATTAAGTTCAGTTAAACTTTTTAAATTTAAACTTTTTAGATCAACATTTTTGAAGACAAAAGTTACTTCTGCATAATAGAAATTGCCACCGAGATAATTGTTTCTTCAAGGGTGCAATCTTCAGACCGCCTTACTAATTGGAATGAAGTATTTCTATTTAATATTCCTCCGTAAGTAATATCTTATTTCGTCGTTTTACTTAAATTTAATGCCTCTTTAATTTAGCGTTAAAACCTTTAAAATTTTAGTTTTTAACTCTGAAGAAGATTTATTGGGTACGTTTTATAATATACTTTTAAAATCTCTGCACTTGTCATATCAAAAGTTAATTGTATTTTTATTAAGTTCATTACTTGACTACTGACTATTTACTTTCACGCTAACTTTTATAGGGCACGTAAATATACAAGTTAGCAGTCTTTCTCGTTTTAAGACTACAGAAAGGCTTATTTTTATACTTAAGATGAGCCTTTTGTAACGAGTAACTATTGTTATTTTGTTTTAGTACCGAAAATCTTGAAGAGCGTTGGTATAATCTTGAGGAAAATGCCAGCTTTCCTGAGGATGCCTCTCCGTCCCTTCTGCTAGGAATCTTTTTCCGTCCTGCCCTGAACAGGTTTTAAACAATTGGCAGTCTCCTGGTAAGCAAGTAACTATTTATCTTGTATACAGTAAATTCACCTCTCCTTTAGCAATTTTTAAATCTGCGAGTTTGGTTGCTTTATAAAATTTATGTTTAAAAAATATATATTATTTTGGTTGCAAATTTTTTTTCTTTGTAATAATTAATTATTATATAAAACACAGTTAAGTAAAAAAAATTGTAGCGTTGATAATCTTCTCTCCCTGAGTAAATCTTCGGCATTTTCAGAGGAGTTTTTACCTGTTCCCACTGTAAACCGCAGTATAACTCAACTTTTTAATATTTTTTGGGAATCTGTGCTTTGCTAGCTACCCGAGAGCGAAAGCAGGCGCTGGGCTTTGAATATAAAGATCCTCTCTGCTACTGATTTAAGACTGTGGCCGCTTTACATGGTACGAAGCGTGGCCCACACACCTCTCCTTTACTCTATTTCGACGGCACTCTGTGCTTGCAGATCCCACGCTCGTACGTGATTATTCGCGTCGCAAATACGAAAGCCCAGACGGCCAGCATTGGGAATGTCATTGAGTTTGGCGGGCAGGACCACGCCTCCCCCGTTTGGAACGAAGTCTTCTGTCTTTCCGCAGAGGTCTTTTCAACGCCGCGCCGGCATTCCACGCTTCACGTTTTTCATATGCACTCCTTTTTCTTTGGTGTAGACTTTTGCTTCCTGCACACTCAAAGTGTACACCGCCACCCAAAATCACATCACAGATGCTGTTTTTCACCACCAGATTGGCCGCTGCGTGTTCGCGTTGGATAGCTTGCCTTTCTGTGATGAATGCCTTAATGAAGACTGCTCGGGTTTCATTGTAACTAATTTTGCTTCAGTGCCGATCTTAAACTTCGGCTCGCTACACAGACGCCGAAAGAAATGCCGTCAGAGTCGAGCTTAGAGCAAATCAACCAATTACTTCGCAGGTAACGCCCAGCTGCAAACTATCTAAATAGAGGGCATTTTTGACAATTGTAGGATCGAGAGAAACTTCTCCAGAAGGACAACCCTAAGAAACTTCCTGCCCTGCTGGATTGTTATTTGGGTTTGTATAAAAAATATAAATAAATAGTAAAAATAGATAATTAAATATAAATATATTATTTTAATACCTTATAAAAAATTATAATAAAATCTTTTTTAACTAATTGAAAAATAATAAGTCGCGCTTATACACTTTTATAAACCTTTCTTTGTGCAGCGATACCTAAGAATAGCCCTAAAGATATTATGAAAATACGCTCAAAGAGGCAAGGGGCTCCGAGGGTAATTTCCTCTATCTTTTCTGCAGCTTTTTTTAGGCGCTGACCTTATTTAATAATGCTACTAACAGCTAACAGTGTTAGCAGCGCTCGTGCCTGCGATGGATGTGTGCGGCGGACTAGATGAGGGCGGGGAAGAATCTGCTGAAGATCCAAAGGTTTAGTTTTATATGAATTACTTTTCCCTGTAAATTTATACCCACTAAAGATTAGTCCGATTGAACTACCGAAGCCTTTTGAGTGGCTTTTGATAGACGAGGAGTTTCCCTGCAGTGTTACTAAGCTTAAGAACTTGCTATTTGGAGACGGTTTTTTGTGCGCCAGTTCTATAATCTTTTTTAATATTGTATTTAAAACGGTAGCTTCTTTGTTTCTCTTAAAATTCTATGAAACTCAAAAATATAAAGAAGTTTTTGTGGGAGACTGGTGCGCCCAGTCGGTAAGGATACCCGCCCTCAGTTGTTCTCTTGGGCTTTTAGTAAGCGCTTGACATCTTCAGGGCTCTAGCGCCCAGGATTGCAGGACCGTGACTTATATGATGCCATCCACGTCATTTATGAAATCTTTAAAAGCTACTGAGCTCCAGAAGTACGAAGTGCAGGCGCCTGGTGGCTGCGTGGTGGAGATCCAGTCCTTGACTCCCAACGTTCGACCTTCTATTCGTATCTACTTTGAATACTCACGTGGTACTTTCCACTCTCTCAGGCGCCGATGGCAAGCACTTTTGAAGTTCACGTGCAGTTGTGTTTGAACAAGTTGACGCCGAAAAGAGCGTTACTGAGGGCTTCGGCTGAAACGAGATTCGTGAAATCAACCCTTTTAAAAGGACAAATAGAAAAAAGTACGAGTTTTACTTAGAAATAACATAAAATTATTCTAAGAAATTAATGAAGCTTGCATAGATTTGACCATATTTTTTTAGTATACTCCCGGGATTCCGAATTCCACTTTTTCTTATAGATATATTTATTATGCAGCCGTTAAAAAAGGCCTAGAGGAAACATACACTAACCTCGCTAAGACCCTCAGGGGATTGTTTGGAGGCCCTCGAAAAAAAAAGAAAATTACCGAGGCTCCAAGTAGTAACTTTTTAGTTTATTACAGCAAAATAATTAACTTTTATGTAAAAGCTTTTTGGCTTTTCAGAAATGTTACTATTTCCATTTCGCAGTTGCTTGGCGGCCTGGTTGTGGTTGTGCTCTTGGCAGTGCTAAACTTATATTCATTTTATTTTATATTTTTTAAAGAGAACAATGCAGTGTTGCAGTAATAAAAGTTTTTTTTTAAATAATAAAACCCCATTTATATAAGTAAAGTGTAGTGCAGTTATTTATAAATTACTTTTTATTATCGATAGGAACCATTGCATTTGTAATAATTTTACAATATTTTAATCTATATGCTGCCTTTTTATTATACTTATTGCTTTCTAACTCCTCACTCAAACTAAAACAACTCATTTAAATAAAAAGTTAGTTTTCAAATTCCACCGAATAATTTTTATTTGCTAGATAATTTATTGCTAGTTCAGTTGTTTACCATTTTAAAACAGTTGACCGAAAACGAAGAAGTTACTAAAATATACGGGTTATGCGACCCTCTACGACGGATCTTGTGTTACTTAACTATTTGGATAATGCAGCTAAACAAACGGGTTATGTAATTATTTACCAAACAAGTTCATTATGGTTATGTCATCTCCTCTGCATGCTCTTAGTTGAGGTTTACGACACTCTGAAATCTTCAGGTTCTTCGGCACGTGTCGAAAGATCTGCTTTTAAACTTGGTAAAATCCTAAGTTTGGATAAAGTCCCGTAGCAGGTTCTATCTTACCTATAACATTGAATGACAAAAAAAACATCACTAACTCTAAATTTTAAAAAAAAAAAGTTGACAAAAACTTAATAAACCAAAACCAACGTAGTAAAACTTTACAGCAAAGTTGGTAAAGTGAAATCAGAGGAAAAAGAAATATCAAACTTTTTTAAATAATAAAGTACAAGATTATACACTTTTTTTTAAGACATTTATTTTGTACCATTTGAGTTTCGTATTGAAAAGGATGTGGTTATCCGTAAAACTAATAGGTTTAGAAGGATATTCTCAAAATTATATTTTGCTTTACAGCTTTAATTTTTTACGTTCATTATTATTCAAAAAATTTCTAATTTACTTTCCCCATTATGGGCGAAAAAAATCCCTAAACAAAAAACTTTAATATAAAAGTATTCGGATTACAATTTACGCTGATAAATATATAAAAAAATTTTCCACGGGAAACCATCCTCTTATAGACTAATCTAAGCACCACTGCGCATAGTTCTTTGATTAATAGTTAATCTTTACATTGCGAGAAGCAAAAGTCTTTATATACTCGCGGAGATCTCGCGACGACAACAATCCCCTCGACAGAGTTCAACTACGTTTACGAATCATCTGGAATTTTTAAAAAAAAATACATTAACAGAAATGCTAACTGAAACTCCTTTCTTAAAAAAAAAACTCAAACTTTAATAGGAATTCGTGCACTAAACTCTTTTATGTTTTTGGAAGACCAGATCTCGCGGCAAGCATTATTAAGTGAAAACACAAACCGACAAAATATACCATGCGAGGGGGGTTATTACGTAATCTTTTCAGAAACCTGATATGTACATTATAACTTGATTGGTGTTAGTATGTTTTAGGAATTAAACTACCTATAGCTCTACATAGCTCCATAGAATTTTACTATTAACGTGTTTTGTTGCTTGTGAAAAGTCGAAGTAAAAGCTATAACATGCACATATATGCCAACATCTCTCAATAATTTATTAAAAATGGTAATTTTTAAAATTCTTTAGTAGATTGAAAGTTGCGTGGTAGTTGTAATCTATAGTGATCAAGAATGGTCATCAAAGAATTACATAATATCCACCAGCTACTTTTTTCTAAATAATTCAAAATGTTTATTATGTATCAATTTTTCATAAGGAGATTCAGTTACTATTTCGCTATACTCTCTATGCGGTTTTTATTTTTAGATTAAAGTCTATAGTCTATTAATAAAGAGTGGTAAACTGATTTTTTTTGAGTAGTTATAGATTTAATAAAATTTTTCGACGTCAATAATGCCTTTACCAATAAATTAAATTTGAGATTGTATTTGTTTTGATAAATAATGCTCCGTGTGATTAATAACCCGTCACATCACTAATAAGTTTATTTTGTTTATTAATTTTGGTTTTAGCTTAAGCTTTAATCAATTGCTAAGCCCTGCTAACATAAATGAACAACTACAAGGCAAAGAATCGGGAAACAGGTATATGTATGTATATATATATGGTTCACTTGTGCAATAATCGTACATATTTGAAATTGAATGCTTTAATTAATTACCCTTTACAGTCTTCTAATCGCAAAAAATGCGTTATAGCAATAACCAACGTTTTATGCCTTCGAGCTCGGTAACAGTGGGGTGTCTTTAAAACAGTATAGTTATAGAAAAAACCCAACTTACAATTTTAACGAAAACCGCCCATTTAGCTATAGCTAATTATAATAATTACTTAACAGGTTGTTTTGGTTTTTATTTGTAAGTGCTAGAAAGTGTTTACTTTTGACCAAAACGAGGCATGAGGGCTAAGGAACTTAGCTTAGGAATAGGTATAACGACTCTAGTTTTTAAGAACAAATAAATAAGTAAATATAAACAAGCCGTTCCATTTAACATTTAGTTTGTGTTCTCGACTAATATCTATATGGTATGACTACTTTATTAGAGAGTTAATTTTAAAAGGTGAAGTTTTAAATAACAGGGTTTTTAAGGCACCACTATACAATTACGCGAGCTACTTAAATTGGTAGATATAATTATAGCCCTCCCGCAAATATTGACTTTTTGGCGCAGGACGCGTGAGGGCGCCTTTACTTAACTGTGGGTGCAGCAAGTAACTCCTTGGTCTTTATAGTTGATTTAACTAGGTCACTGTATAGTTCGGACTCTTGGTAAGAGTACTTTCTAGAACTCTTGATATCTGCTTGGGCCGTTGGGTCTAACCTTTTTGATTCTTCTTTAAGTTTTGTACACTCCCCGGAAGCGATGATTAATTTTTGTCCCTAGACTTAGGTCGTAAAGTGACCAAACATGATTGGCCCTATGTATAAAATTCGCGTCCAACTTGGACGTTAGTCTTATCGACTGCATGCTGGCTACGGTCTCTTGTGGTCGCTAGGTCACCATCCTAAGGCGGATTAACGTTCGGATGTAAACTTATCTTTATCGGGTCATGTCATCCTCTATGATGATTTGGCACTACTTAAATCTTTAGCTAAAGCTGCTAAAGCTTGATCATTGTTATTATTTGCCAACCTGATGTGATAATGGTATCTTTCTGATTGAAGCTCTGAGTTGAGGGCTGCTCGTCACTTAGGAGAGTCGCTGGTGGTGTGACACCACGTATCGAAAGATAAACTCTTAAAAACGGTAAAAACTTCGAGTTGGGTTAAGCCCTCTTGCAGGTGCTATCTTCCCTGTATCCTTGGATGGTAAACATTTTGATGTTCGCGAGCTAACATAACAGCTGACTAAACTTGCTTCATTCTTGGGTGACTTAATGGTGTTGGGCCTCCTCATGATGCTTCGCGTGGAGTACTGTCGTTGTTGCCTTTCGAAGCGGTTCCTTGTAACATGCCTAGAAGGATCTACTATAACCACTTCATGAACTATTATCAAGTTTGGCGAAAGTAGATAAGTTATGCAGTACCCTGTTGTCAAGTAGCAATTAGGTGCGGCCGAAAGCGTTGGCAATAAGAGCTGTATAATGAGTAATGAAAGTGAGTACACTAGTTCGATTCCAGAACCAACAGACCAGTCACAGAAAGTAGCATAAAGTTTGCGAAACCTGGGATCGGATTGGTGTTAGTAACATATTCGATCCACCTTGAAAGTGTGTTGTTTGTATACGTGACTAGTGGTGTCTCTTGCTAACAGTACTAAATATATGCGGCAGATATCCCCTTGAAGGTCTTTTATGTTTCGAGATTATAAAAAAAAAGAACATAGGTATTAGCTTGAAACACTTCTATTAGCAGCATGGAGGATAGCCTTTAATCTTAGTGAGACAGGTCCCAGGGCAACGGCGAAGATCGAAACAAAACCAAATTAGCCATCATTGACGTAAAGCTACTATGGGAAGTAATTAAAACCACCGTTGATGAAAAGAAAGTCGAATACTTTATGAAGTTATAAAGAAGCACGTTGAAAGCGTTATAATAAGTTGTACAGCCTAATTGACTTCATAGATTCCCAGTCGAACAAAGTGTGTCTTTCTGAAACTTTAAAGTTCATGATTTCTTATTAGTCTTCCCGGCAATAAATAACGGGAACTGTTCAAAACAACACTTAAATGCAAAGTACCATGGGTAAAAGTTGAAACTAAACAGCTTCTCAAACTGTTATGACAGTTAATTTTTCTCAATTCCGTGCTGTCCTATCGTTTACTCTTAATATTATAATTCGTAAATTCAGTTATCGTTAACGCCCTAAAGCGTCTATTGTTAAACAGTAACCTTATTTGGTTATTATAATTACGCAGTTATTTATTTTCTCATTTTTTACGGGTATAAAAGTTAAGCATCTCCCCTCATCTAAACGAATTTTGCTATATCCTTTGATATGAAGCGCTATCTTTACGTATAATAATTTTTTTTTTTGTTCAGCGATCTTACCTCCTTTCCTTGTCAGCAATCTTCTTCTTAACTCTCTTACTTTGATAATAGTTTCCTCGTTTTAGTTCCCTTTCTTGCAGTCTAGTTCTACGCCCTTTGATTCCTGATATACAGATAGGTTACCTTTACCTTTAGAGATTTTAACTCTCTATAATTTTGTCCTTCCATGCACACATTTTCGCGTTTTACCCCATCTTTATACTATATTAAAACCGCAAGGTTACTTTAAAATTGGGGCTTAGCAACTCCCACATTGCGAACTTACATGCCCAGTTATCTTAAAAGATATTGCTTGTCTTAACGGTTCTAGCAATCACACTATACAATATATGCAAACGCCGACATAGCTGTAGAATTAATAAAAAAAATTTCGGTTGGCTGTACTACATCTACAATGGGGAAATGTCTAGGAGGTTCCCAGCTCTTAACAAAGCGCTTTACTGTATAAAGATGTCTGAAAGGATAAGGTTTCAACTAATATCTTAAAATTCTGAAAATTAGGGCTAATACAATATAATATTAGGCATGCGCCCTCCACATTCATGACACTTCACATCCATA